AGCCCAAGGCTGGGAGCCACATGACTGAATTCTTATGCCATTTCTGCCTCCACACTCCGGGCCAAGTTATTGTCCCTGCAGCTGACTCGGCAGCTTACAGAAATGGGTGCTCCCCTCTCTTCCCAGCTCTGCGGTAGTGACATCATGTTGGTCTGTGGGGGAGTATTTACACCCCAGAAACTGACAAGTTGTCAATTGTAGGTTTGTAAAACCTACAAAGCAAGGTTTTTATTTCCTTCCTTCTTCCTTCCTTCCTTCTTCCTTCCCTCCCTCCCTCCCTCCCTCCTTTCCTTCTTTCCTCCCTCCATCCCTCCTTCCCTCCCTTTTTTCTTCCTGCTTTCCTTCCTTCGCTAGCTTCCTAGCACACCACCACTTACAGGCCTCAGTTTCTTTGGCTATGAATGAGGGACATGGATCTACATGGGTCTTCATAACTATCATCGTTAGAGTCCCAGAGCTGATTGGTGGGTCTCTGAGGCCCCTTTGATGTGGGGGAGGGGACAGCTGCAACCCTGAGGACTCTCCTGACTTCACTCATGGCAGATCAGCTTTTCGCCATTTACACATCAGGGTTTCCCGTAAGCTTTTGTTTGAACAAAACTTTTAAAACATTTGTAAACCACAGATGCCTCCAAGAGGCCCTCAGCTCTGACAGTCAGAGCCTGTGGTCCTAATTCCTGCCACGCTGCCTAGAGTCAGGACTGAGGCTAGGACTGGGGTCAGGCCAGCAAATCTCAGGCACACAATTTAGGAGGAGTCAAGAGCTCAGCAATTAAGATAAACCAATGCAAAGTTTTGTTTGGTTTGGTTTTTTATAAAAGCAAAAAAAAAAAAAATCCACGATGAACAAAATATCACCATTTGATGCCTGGATCAGTATTACTGGTGTCTCCTGGGGCCTCAGACCCCCATACGGCTCACATGGCACAGCTCAAGGGACGCTGTAGGCATCCAAGTGCCTGCGTCCATCCAGGCCTCACTACGGCTATGACATCACCCAAGCTGTCAGCGCAGGATGACGCAGGAGGATGGGTGTGTGCGGAGGGTCAGCACCCTGCCAGGAGCACCGGGGGTGCTCAGCACCTGTTCATTTCCTTCCTTCTTGAGCTTCCTGCCAGCTCCCCTCCCAGAAGCAGCTGGGGAGCAGGCAGGTGGCAGTTCTCCACCTTGATTTGCCCCTTGGAATCACCTGGGCAGCTTTTACCCCTCTCCTCACTGCCCAGACCCCATGGCCCAGAGCATTTCTTTAACTATTTTTTTAAAATTTTATTTGTTTGGGGGCTCCTGGGTGGCTCAGTCGTTGAGCACCTGCCTTCAGCTCAGGTCAATGTCCTGGGGACTTGGGATCAAGCCCCACATAGAGCTCCCAGCTCAGCAGGAAGCCTGCTTCTCTCCTCCCAATCCCCCTGCTTGTGTTCCCTCTCTTGCTGTCTCTCTCTCTCTCTCTCTCTCATTCTGTCAAATAAATAAATAAAATCTTAGAGCAAAATAAAATAAAGTAAAATTTTGATTTTAAGTAAGCTCTACACCCAACGTGGGGCTCGAACTCACAACCCCGAGATCAAGCGTCACATGCTCTACCAACTGAGCCAGTCAGGTGCCCCCACGCTGGAGCATTCAAATCAGAATTTCTGGGGGTGGACCCAGACCTCAGAACTTTTTAAAGCCCCCGCCTACCCCACCCCACCCCTGGTGATTACAGTGTGCAGTCAAGGTCAAGAACCACCGCTCCAGAGACCCCATAATTATATAGGCCTTGAAGCCTTTGTCATCTGCCAGGGTCTGGCTGGACTCATACAGGTAAGGAATCTGTATCCGTGCAGAGCCTGCCACAGAGCTCAGGAAGGGAGCCAGGCAGCCCCACACCCGCCATCCAGCAGCCGCAGGAAAACCACCAGGGCTCAGTTCTCCTTATCACAGCCACCAGATGATGAGACCAGGGCTGTCAGTGCCTTCAAGGGCCATTTGGACCTCAGAGAGAGACCTGCCCTCCGAGAAGTCAGGGGCCAAGGATGCCTCCTGAGCCCAACAGCTCTGTTCTAGGACTGTCTTTTGCTTCAAAGAGTGGAAGGGGGAAGGAGTGAAGGTAAGTCCTTTCCAAACGGGAGTCACTTTGGGAAGGTGGCCGTCTGCTGGTGGAGAGGGCGTCCCCTGCCTGGTGGTGTTCTCCTGGAAGACAAGCACCCAGTGAGGGGGAAAGGGATGGAGGAGGAAGCAGGAGGAGGAAGGGAGGGAGGAAAAGAAAGAGGGGGGAGGAAGGAAGGCAAATAGGCAAACAGCGATGAACGAATAAATGGAAGGCCAGAGTTGAGTAATTGAGTATATTTATCGGACCCTTGCTACCCTGAGTGTGGTTCAGCATCACCTGAAGGCTCGTTAGAAACACTTATGCCTCGAATTAATACAATGTTGTATGTCAATTATATTTCAATTTTTTTAAAAAATTGAGAATGACGGGGTGCCTGGGTGGCTCAGTTGGTTAAGTGACTGCCTTCAGCTCAGTTCATGATCCTGGAGTCTTAGGATCGAGTCCTGCATCGGGCTCCCTGCTCGGCAGGGAGTCTGCTTCTCCCTCTGACCCTCCCCCTTTTCATGCTCTCTCCCTCTCTCTCTTTCTCTCTCTCTCAAAAAAATAAATAAAATCTTGGGGCGCCTGGGTGGCTCAGTGGGTTAAAGCCTCTGCCTTCAGCTCAGGTCATGATCTCAGGGTCCTGGGATCGAGCCCCACATTGGGCTCTCTGCTTAGCGGGGAGCCTGCTTCCCTCTCTCTCTCTGCCTCCCTCTCTGCCTACTTGTGATCTATCTCTGCGTGTCAAATAAATAAATAAAATCTTTAAACATAAGTAAATAAATAAATAAAATCTTTAAAAAAAAAAATTGAAAATCACAGGCAGGCTCCCAGGCTCCCAGGCCCCACCACAGACCTATAGAATCTGGCTTTTAATAACAAACTATCCAAGTGACTGGCATGCACTTTAACATTTGGAAAATACTTTATTAAAAGGATCAGTGTGGGAGCGCCTGGGTGGCTCAGTGGGTTAAAGCCTCTGCCTTTGGCTTGGGTCATGATCCCAGGGTCCTGGGATCGAGCGCTGAGTCGGACTCTCTGCTCAGCGGGAAGCCTGCTTCCTCCTCTCTCTCTCTCTCTCTGCCTGCCTCTCTGCCTAATTGTGATCTCTGTCTGCCAAATAAATGAATAAAATCTTAAAAAAAAAAAAAAAAAGGGATCAGTGTGCCCTAACCCTAACTAGATACATTATCGTCTTGCTGAGAACATCAATACAGATACAAGGCCCAGACCCTACCTCAGATCAATTACATCAGAACTCTGAGGGTCCGGGCCTGGGCAGCCTGTTTCTCTAACAGCTCCCAAGGTGATCCTAACATATGGCCAGAGTCTGGACAGAGCTATAGGCAGCTCATGACACATTACGAGAGGCTAGATATGGTCAAGACAGACCCTCTGAGCTCAGGGCCTCAGCTCGTCATGTATTCAACAGAAGCCAGATTCAGACTGGCCAAGCACAGCCCTGCCATTTTTTCCGCAGAGTTCCCTCTTTCCTGACCCCATGTGGAGGGCGCTCCTCTGGAGAGACAGCCCTTACCTGCCGGTGCGCAGCCCAGCTGCCCGAGGGCTAGAGAGACCCGACTCGTTTTCCCATGCATCTCCCAGCCTCTGCGCACAGAGACCCCAGAGCTGGCGGCATCCAGCCCAAGCATCTGTTAAAGGTCCCCCAGGGTCAGAGGGACCTAAAAACCAAGGCTTTGGGGTCTGGCCCCATTGTCCAGAGTCTGGGGTCAAAGAAAGGTACAGCGTCAAATGCCAACTTCAAAAGGGTCTTCCAGAACTTCTACAACCCAAGTGGACAATGGATGGCCTGCAGAAGTTTCCTTTAGCCTCAACAAAAAATTTCAAGTTGAAAGATGGTTGTCAACATCTCCAATCAGGAGATTTCACATTTTAAGGACTTCCAGATTTCTGTTGAAACTCTGCAGATCTGGCCACAGTGAGCTGGAGACTTACTGGATGTCCCTTTAGACGGGCGGCCTCGGCTCCCACTCCCCATACCGGCCTTACCTACTTTCCTCCACGTACTACCTGCCCAGCCCCTGAAAGTGTTGACCTTGAGCCCCAGAATTCGAATCCAACTCTTTTCCTTCAAGGAAAAGCTACGGACCTGACAGGAGGGGAACCCAAGCCATCCTGCCTCGAGGTCCAGCCTTGCATGGTGCTTTACCAGGAGCTCCAGGCCACCTCCTGCTCATCTCAGAGCCGCGGGCACTGGCGGGAATCTGGGGTTCACAAAAAGGCCAGCTTTCGTGAGATGCAAGAATTCAGTTTAATTGGATGTGGTATTCTATCCATCTCCCTCCCTCTTCCTCACCCACCTGCCCCCAAAGGGAGGGCCAGTCAGCGGCTATTAGGACAGGAAAACCGTTCTCTGGTCACAGAGAAAAGTCAGAGGCGGGGCCCAGGAAGTCAGAGGCCTTGACTGTGTGGGGAGCAGGGAGGAGGCTGCAGCAGAGCCTTGCTCTGGCAGATGTGAACAACATCAGTATTTGGGGCAAGTGCTCAGTTCCAGCTCCCCTTGGTTCTTTGGGAATCTCTTCCTTTTGCCAGGAGGAAGCCGATTTGGCAGGCCAGAAAAGATCCACCGAAGACTGCGTCAAGCTGGAGCAGCAGGTCTGGAAGAAGACAGAGGCCAGGCCTGGGGACAGGGAAGTCCCGGGGAAAGAAACGACCCACAGGCACCAAGTGGTGTGTGGCCTCCCTGCCCCTCAGAATCACAGTTTCCAGGGCCCTGGTTCCGGCAGCCTCCTGCCCACATGGGCTGCTGAATACTGAGCCACCCAGGGGATGCGGTGGCCCCTCCAGAAGGTGGGTAATGAGCACAAGTGACCACAGTGACTGGCTGCCGTGCTCTTCCTAAATGGGAGACACAAAAATCTAGCTGGAGCCAAGGGCCCAGGCAATCCTTCTGTGTCTATCACAAGCGTCTCTGGGCCTTCCCAGCTCCGGAGACTCCAGGGGAAGTCTGGGGGTCAAGGCTGAAGGATGCGAGTGTGCCTGGGCTGCGGTCCTGTGTGGTCCATCCTGCAGGTGTGCTTTGGAGCCCAGAGCCACGGCTCAGCATCAGGCATCTAGATGGGGAATCTGCCGTTGGCCACCTTCTCGCTGGAGTCTGAGTTCAGCAGCCCCTTACATCCGCGGGGAGGCCCGCGGAAGCCAGCATGGACAGGTGCACGGCGAGGTAAACAAGAGAGGCTCTGTCCACTCCTCATTTCTGCTCAGGAAACCACTGGAGTCAGTAGACATGGAGGTCCGGTCTGCAGGGGACAGCTCAAGACAAGGACAAATGCAGGAGCCCAGCTCAGTAGCAGCTGGGGCGGAGGGGAGGGGCGCAGAGCTGCCCACGGGGAGTCATCTGTCCTACACGAAACGGACATTCTCTGAATGAACGTCCCAGCGATCCTGGGTGGGGCAGCTGGTGGCCAGGGTCCTCCCTGAGCTTGTGTGAGGGCCCTACAACACCGGGATCCATTTGTTGTCCTCGTTGTACAGAAAGGACTGCTTTCCAGGGAATTCTGGCCTGTACGTGGCTGTGAGGCAAGAGGGAGAGAGAGAGAGAGAATTAAGAATGCAAAGCCCAGCTGCTCGAGCCCCTGGCATTCTACATCAGAGCTGGCAATGCTGGGGTAGCCCTGTCCTGCCCCTGTGTCTCACACATGGGGAGGTGGAGAGGGGAAGGGCCTGGCCCGGCTGATGCTAGACTTGAACTCTGGCTTTTGGCCTTCTTTAACTCCCTGCAACTTCTTTAACAGAAGAAAAATTCACCAAAGAGTTTTCTATCAGGTTTGAAAAAACAACTGAGTAAAGCAATACTTTTAAAGAAGCCAGGTGTCAACGTGGTGGGGTTTTGTTTTTTTTTTTTCATTTCGTTCAGAAATTTCCAGAAGGGGTGCCTGGCTGGCTTAGTTGACAGAGCCTGTGAGTCTGGATCTCTGGGTCATGAGTTCAAGCCCCACATTGGGCATGGAGCCTACTTAAAAAAAGAAAGAAATTTCTAGAAAAGTGAAAGCCATGATGACTGCAGCCACATTTTCTCTAGGAGATCAGCTGCCAGGACCACACCTGGGGTGAATGGAAACTCCCAAAAGGATGCTGATTTGGTTATTGGGGGTCCAAGCCCCCGGGAGCACCAGGCAGCCCCCCGGAAGCAAGAAGGCAGATGTTTGTGTGGGGCTTACTCCCAGCCCCGCCCCCCAGGGAAGCCCACGCTGCGGGTGATCATGGCAGCAGGAAGTGGCCAGCGCCCAGGTGCCAGGTGCAGGGAGAAGACCCCCAGGAAAAGCTTCTAGAGGCCTGGGCCACACATGTGCAGACGAGGATCCTCGCTGGGCCCCGGGCCTCCTGAAGCCCACCATGCATATGGAGCTAAGCTCTGCCTGAGCTGACCAGTGACCCCCAGGTCCAACCTCTGCAGTCTTCTTGACTTGATTATCCTTTGTTTCTACATTTCCGAAGCTCTAAGATCTGCTTTCCCTGTCCAGTCCCCCTGATGTTTTACTCACTCGTATGCGTGAAGAGGAGGGTGTCTCCCCTACCAGACTGACATCCCTGGTGGTAAGCACCGAGCTAGGTGACCTTTGTCTCCCCAGGGTGGGAGCCTCACCAGTCCTCACTGAAAGACTGACTTACACAGACCTGCAGCCCCCTCAGCTCTGCCTTCCCCCTCTCACGCTGCCAGCCCACTAGCGCACCTGTCTGTCCCCAGGTCCACCAGCTCTGGCTGACATCAGGGGGCGGCAAGCGGCTGAGGGGGCCCTAGGAGAGCTATGAAGAGGTCAGGGGGTACAGAGACCAGCCGCTGGAGAAGGTCCCTCACACTGTTAACTTTCAGGTAGGTCCCAGAGGTGACAGGGTCCCCCCGAGTCAGCCATCTGGAAAGGGCACAGACCTAGATAGCTCCTGGGAACTGCCCCAGGGAATAGTCCCTGGCGTGCCTCGTCACAACAGGGCACGGAGGGCACAGAGGGGAAACAGCCCACGGCTCTGTCTGCCCCTCCCTCACTGTGGCTCAGTGCACACCTTGCTCTCCAGGCCTTCCCCAGCTGTCAAGAGATTCGGCCAGACCAGGCCGGGGGGCTAAGCATTTCTAAGAACACGCAAATGTTGGACAATCTCATAAAAGCTACGGCCCCTGTCTCCAAAAATTAGTGTCTTCATGCTCCAAGTCTGCAGGCAATTTCAGGGTCACAGACCCCTCTAGAGCCCATCTCTGAGCCTCTGGGACATCCATGGTCATTGGTTATGAATGTCTGGCCTGGATTAACTCTAAGACACCTTCCGCCTTAAAAAAACAAAAACAGGGGCGCCTGGGTGGCTCAGTGGGTTAAAGCCTCTGCCTTCAGCTCGGGTCATGGTCTCAGGGTCCTGGGATCGAGCCCCGCATTGGGCTCTCTGCTCAGTGGAGAGCCTGCTTCCTCCTCTCTCTCTGCCTGCCTCTCCACCTACTTGAGATCTCTCTCTGTCAAATAAATAAATATAATCTTTGAAAAAAAAAGAAACAAAAACAAAAACAAAAAAACTTCTTTCATACTCCAAAAGTACAAGCTACAAGGTCTTCCAGATGGACTCAAGCCTCTGTAACCTGTTTGGCAAACAGCCCATAAATCAGTGACATTTGATGGCCCAGGAATGACAATTCCAGAGTTGGTTTTTATAGTCATTTCAAACACTCCTCTGACCTGGGCCTGGCAGGCCTGACTGGGACGGGGCCGCTGTCCACCGGCTGGTGTTGGACACAAATGATGCACTGGAGATGAAGTGTCTGGGGGGCCCTGCGTAGTCCACGATCTCATACTGCCCAGGGCCTGGGAGGGGCGGCTTCGGGGGCAGGGGCAAAGGCTGCGCCGAGAAGTTCAGGATGGGGTTTCTCCTTCAAAAAAAAGACAAAATGTGAAGCTAGCACTCAAGCAGTCTATCGGGGAAACAGTTGTTTTTAGACCAAGCCAAGGTATCCGCATTTTAGGCCCACACCGAGGTATCCGCATGGGGAGAGCACAGGCACCAGAAGGCCCAGGTGGAGCATGGTTCTGGGGCTCGTGAGCTGGGGGCCCCCGGACCTCCTTCTCCTTTCTGCACAATGGCGGGTTCACGGTACCAGTCCCAGGGAGCAAGGAGAGGACGTCCCTCTAACAGTGGGCAGGGCAGGGCCCAGCACAGAGTGAGAGCACAGCAGGTGCTTCAGAGATGCTGCTGCTGAACGGATCAGGAAATGGGACGAGGCCTCCTGAATTCCAGGGATCTGCCCTCCCAAGATGAGCAGATCTCAAGAGACCTGGCCAGCACAGACGTTTCAGGATCTTACTACATCTTCCCGGCAAGGCAGGATATGGGAGTGGACAAACACTTGGTTGGAAATCAAGAGCCTTCTGCCTCTTGTTTACCACTCACACTGGAATTGCTCCTTTCCAAGTTTATGACCCTTGCCCTTCAGGAAAAGGAGTCTTTTAGGTCCATCATTGAGAGAGTACATGAAAGGTGAATGGGGGGGGGGCGCCTGGGTGGCTCAGTGGGTTAAGCCTTTGCCTTCGGCTCAGGTCATGATCTCAGGGTCCTGGGATCAAGCCCCACATCAGGATCTCTGCTAAGCAGGGAGCCTGCTTCCCCCCAGCACACCCCCCACCCCACCGCCTGCCTCTCTGCCTACTTGTGATCTCCGTCTGTCAAATAAATAAATAAAATTAAAAAAAAAAAAAAAGAAAGGTGAATGGAAAGGCACCTGAGCCCTAGCTCTGTCACGAATTCACTCTGGGCCTCAGTCTCCCCATCTGCGAAATGAGGAGATTGGACACGATAACCCCTTCCAGCTGTGATCATCCACCAGGCCGTGGTTTGGGGAGGTCTGCCAGTTGCCCAGGGAATTCTGGGATTGTTCGGGGAATCACACCCCTCTCCCTGCCATGCGGTGTAAGGGTTGCCCACTCCCACCTCTCACCTGAGGCTTCGTCTAAGGTCTTTCACCAAAAGGGAAGGGAAAGTCCTCGCAGCACTGAACAGCCACAGGAGGCTCACCCCAGCTGGAAGGCTGCCCACCCAGAGGAGGGGACTGGGATTCCTGGCCACTGCTACCCTGCTGCCCTTTGGCCAACACCTTTGGAAGTGAGGGCATTTTTAAACTCAGAGACCTAAAGGGGACCCAATGATGTCTTATCCAACCTCCTCATTGTGCTAAAGAAATTGGTGCCCAGAGAGAGAGAAAGTGAGCCGCTCCCCCCACCACCCCGCCCCAAGTCATGGAGCCCATGGGTAGTACCGCCAGCACTGAACTCAACTCTCAAGGGGCTGGCGGTTTGGGGAAAGCATCACGGCAGAGGGGAATCTTGGAGATTTAGAGCCACAGACCTGCATCTGAGTTCCAGGCATCCCACTTACTGGCTGTGAGACCTCAGACGAGTCCCTCGACCTCTCTGTGCCCGCAGCAAGGAAGAACAGCACCCTCTCTCTGTAAGGCACTTGGTGAGTGGAGCCCACAGTAAATGCTCAATAAAAACAGATGTTGTGGGGGCGCCTGTGTGGCTCAGTCATTTGGGTGTCTGCCTTGGGCTTGGGTTGTGATCCCAGGGTCCTGGGATCGAGTCCCGCATCGGGCTCCCTGCTTGGCGGGAAGTCTGCTTCTCCCTCTTCCTCTGCCTCTCCCCATACCAGTCATGCTCTCTTTCTTTCCCTCTCTCAAACAAATAAATAAATAATAAAAAAATAAATAATTAAAAAAAAAAGCAGACGTTGTTAGTGGGATGATCAGAGCAAACCTTGGCCTGCCGCTTGGTCTCAGGGGAGCAACGGAGCCTCAGGAAGAGAGGCTGGGGGCCCCCTTGCATAGAGTCACCCTGAAGCAGGCTGGCCACTCCCACTGCCAGGCTGTTGGAAGTCACCGTGAATCGACTTGGGGCTCGCGTCTCACGCAGAACAGCTGGCTGGGATGCTTGTGCTTAGAACAAAGGTGCCCACAGGAAAAGGAGAATAAAACCATGCCTCTTTCTTCCCCTCCAGCCGACATGGAAGAACAGGTTATAGTGTGTGATCAACCACCTCTCCCCTCAGAAATGAAAGCGGACTCCGCCTTGCTCTGTCTTGTGTCACCCCTTCAAAGCACCCCCAGAAATTTGATGAGTGTGGGACCGGCATCACTGAAAGACAGGCTTGAGTCCTAAAAGCTGGAGCCGGAGTGAGCCAACCACCGCATGAGGTCACCCCAGCGGTCTAGGTCACCCTCAGGCCCCATTCTTTGAGACAGCCATGAGGTGTCTACTCTCCTAACCGGGAACAGCCTGCAGGAGGCGGGGCCAGTGTCTCATCAGAATTTTTTTTTTTTTTAAGATTTTATTTATTTGGCAGACAGAGATCACAAGTAGGCAGAGAGGAAGGCAGAGAGAGAGAGAGAGAGAGTGGGAAGCAGGCTCCCTGCCAAGCAGAGAGGCCGATGTGGGACTCGATCCCAGGATCCTGAGATCATGACCTGAGCCGAAGGCAGAGGCTTAACCCTCTGAGCCACCCAGGCGCCCCTCTCATCAGAATTCTTGGCAGGAGGGCCTAGAGAGGTCCCTTGCCCTCCACCCCATCAACAATCCCAGCACCGGCAGCTCAGCTCTCTGGATCTTTAAAGAGTGCCAGCCACGTGTGCAGCCGTGTGCCAGGCACTCTGGGGAGTCCAGACTGTTCTGTGCTGAGCCACAGACCCTGTATGTTCCCAAGGGCTTGGCAATCCCCTGCTAGTGACAGTCCTGGCTGGTGACAACTTGAGGAGGTATAGACTTTGCTCCCAGACAAACTTGGGTTTGAATCCACACTTCCCCATCACTAGCTCTGTGACTTTAGAGAAGTCTCAGCCTCCCTGAGGTTCAGTTCCTTCTTCTGTGACATGGGGCATAAGAGTACCTTCCACCCAGGATTCTTATGAAGATTTACTAGTATTTTACTTGTATTATTTTTTTAAAGCATGAAATATTAGAATAGAGATAAAAACATTGCACGGGGTTGGAGGGGCAGAAATTCCAATTAAGTGAATCCAGAATTCTACCCTAGAAGAGCTAACATTTGCCCTAAAAGGTAAGCAGGAATTCTTCAGGTAGAAAAGGGGGCATTTACCGCAGAGGAAACAGCAGGGACAAGAGCATACTTGAGGCACAAGCTGTAGCTGTATGTGGCAGGAGTTGGAATAAGGGGGTAGAGGCCACCGAGTCTCCTAGATGGCCTTCAGCTCTCAATGCACCCATGACTTCTAGAATGTTCACCTGTTTCTGACCATCCATTCTCACAGACCCCGATGAGAAGCTAAAGGAATAGCTCCTATTTATGGCCTCTCAATTCAGCCTAACCCCCGACGCCCCTTGCTCCCATTTGACCTTCCAGAAACCCCCAACACAACACTGTTCGACCATTCTTTGACTTTGCCTGTGCTCTTCCTTCTGCGAGGATCTCCTTTCCCTGCAAACTCTGATCATTCTTCACATCTCACATCCTTCAGGGAAACTTCTGTGGCTACTGCCCTCCCCATTCCCCACCGCCCTTCCTGGGGCTCCACAGAGCAGCATGGGTCCTGGAGCCAGCTGGACCTGCATACTACGCTTTGCTCCTCCACCCTCATCTGTACTCTATGTAGCTGTACTGCCCTGCAGGGAAGCTGGGAGCATGACGCTAGGTGGCACCCATGAAAGCTCTTAGCTCAGCATGGCTGGGCCCTCGATATGTTCTAGCCCTTCTTTTCGCTGCACATAACATGCTAGGTTTTCTAATGCTCTTTACATGCCTAGCTCTTTAAGGCAGGGGACTACGTCTTACTCATCTTTGAGGACCCATCCCTATTACCCAGAACATTTACTGAACTGCAGAGAAAAGCGGAGGGGTTACCCCAAGTTGGGGAGTCCAGACACCTGAACCCCACCTGACAGCTTTATCATCGTTCAGGGCTGCTCCCTCCATGGTGAGGTGGGGCTGGGCAGATCACAAATGTCTGGCTGCATCCGACCCAGGGCAGCCCTCAGTGCATGGTGACATCCGGGGCTTTTATGAGCCTCATTGCTTAGTTATAAACGCCAACCTGGTCCTGCCTCATAGAAAGAAAATATCTATCAAAGACTCTGAGTTGGCCACAACTTGGATTAAGTGCGTTTGCAGCTCCCAATGTGAGCTGTTTTCAAATCACCCGAGAATAATGAATGTCTCAGGAGGACCCAGCAGGTCACTCGGGGAAGGCATCCGAGACCCTCAGGACACTCCCAGGCACTCTGCCTCAGGGATTCCCAGGGTCGGGAGGGATAAAGGGGCAATTTTTTCTCATCATTAAAGGGCAGCCGGTTGCCTCTGGGGTGGAATGCAGCATCTGTTTAACAGGGGAGAGGGTGACAGATTACAGCCGCTTGGGAAGAAGCATCCCGTATCTAATTGAAAATCCCAGGGGAACTTTAGGTGGGTCATGATAATTACCCAAATTGGAGCGGGGCCAACAGGGTTTGATTCTTCAGCTCTGGCTGTGGCAGGACAGCGTGTCTGTGCAAAACCAGGGGCTTAGAAACTCCAGGAAGTAGATCAAGGGTTAGAAAGATGTCAGTGGGCGTTTCCCCTCGCTGCTGTGCATGGAAGGCAGCGCCTGGGAGGGACAAGTTTGATCTCTAAAAAGCCCTTATCCTGACTCACCCTGATTCACTGAGTCATCACTGTGATGGTATTGAAGACCTGAAGCAGACACTCCACGTCTCTTCCAAAGCTCTCAGCTGCAAGCCGGTAAATGCTCTTAGCTTTGTGTCAGAAGGTGGCCACAGCCAAGAGGCACCTGTGCCGTGTTCCTCAGCTAGGGAGCCCAGACACAGTCATCCGAACACCTGCCAGCCCTTAGCACAGCACCTACCCTCCAGGGGCCACTCAGTAAGTAGCCGGTGAGCACAGGAGACCCGCTCACATACGAAATCCAAGTTCCGTGTATCGAAAGCTTACCGTGAACCAGACCCGGTCAGTTCTCTGGGTTATCGTATGTTAGCCTCCCAAGCACATTTACGTGGTGTTCATTTCACAATTTGCAGGATGAATTTGAATTCCTGGGAGTTAAGGGACCCCCCCCCACTCCACCCCCAGGCTCCCAGAACTGGTGGACGGGGAAAGTGGGAGGTTCAACACTGGCCCAACTCTGATTGGGATCCTGTGTGTATACACCTCCACTAGCCACATCGTCTCCGCAGCCCATTGTCATCTCTGGGAGCAGAGCAGAGACGAGACAAGCCCATGCCTGGCCCCCTGTCGGCCTCCCTAGCCCGCCCGGGATCTCACCCCATCCTCAACTCCTGGGCTTTACTTTTTTTGGTGGGTAACACGGGACTAACAATTTTAGGGACCACTGGTATCTTCTGATTCTTCCTGCGTCCTCAAGAAAGCAGAGCCGAAAGGTTATTTTTGCAAGCTGGGACCCTCCCCCAAAATACAAGCCAAACACTTGCAACTGAAGACCAATAAAGAGAGGCCTCACATCATGTCACATGGGCATGACACCTGGGCTGCTTGCACTAGCCACGAGGACACCCGGTGATGACTCTCAGATTCTCTGCCACCGCCCCATGCAGCCCAGGAGAGCAAATTGTGCTTAGACTTGGTGTGCATGAAGTCTCGACGAAGTTACATAGAGATGGGGAGGAAACAATGCAGACCTTGTCAGGGGCCTGATGATTCCAGCAGGTGCCCCCCACCCACTCCCACCGCTCCTGCCCCTCTCTTTCCTTCAGGGACACAGGAGAGGAAATAATTCCAACTCGAGAGACTGGAGTCTGGACAATCCCTCAATACAGGGTATTCAGCTGTATTTTTGCTTTATATTAATTCATTTCCTCATCATTGAACATAAACAGATGGATGCTTGTTTAGACTACCCTGGAGCACACTTGAATTTTATCTTCTTGTTTTTTAAGTACAATTAGAGGTTTCTCAGCTGTATCCTTCTCATGTCAATTACAAATGTATACATTTTGGGCCTCCTTTGTGGGTCTGGGCTGGCTCCATGTTCACTGCCCCTAGTATGTGCTCCTGAATGACATGGTGAGCAAAACCAGGGTCCTGGAGTGTCAGAAATGCAAAGACCTTTCCTTCTTTTCACACCTAAAGAGATAAGGCCCAGGAAGGTGCTGAGAGCAGCCCCAGACCATGGGGGAAATTAATGCAAATGTCCTGGGCACCGTGCACTCACCAGGAGGAACCCGAATGGGGGTTATGTACTCATGAGGGAGAACCGAAGTTTAAGAGTCACTGGGTGTAATAGGTTTCTTTACTGGCACAGCAGCGGAAAGGTGGTGCGCAGTGGTGCCCTAAGCCCGCCCATAGGCCGGAGTCCCTGATAATTCAGAAAGAGCCTGTTGCTGGAGCCCGTCCTGTTTTGAGCCCTGGAACCTGTGAGGGCCCAATCTACAGAACCCAAGAACTGAAGGACAGAAGGGACTTACCCATGGATTCCATCTGAGGTCTGAATTCTTTCTCCAGATCCTAAGTCTGATTTGGCATGTTCATGCCTTCTCGTCTCCCCAACCCCATCTCCTTGTCCTGCGCTGCTGGTCAGACTAGGCACAACGTTGCCAGCCTCTCCTGGTTGCCCGGACTTCTGGCCTGCTGTGGGTATGAACCTAGCTACCTGCCTAACACCTGTGGGGGGTGGGGGAGTGTCCTGCAGGTCAGCTGTCCCCACCAGGGGCCAGTACTGCCTGGAGAGGACTATACTGGGGTGAGGTCTTAGATGGTGAAAGGCAGCCTGACCTTACAGTTAGTTCTAGCTCTAGAACCATCTGAGGAATAAATAAGCCTTGCGAGTTCTTGAACCTGTTTGGTGAAAGTAATATTAAATGCATAGGATAGGGGCGCCTGGGTGGCTCAGTGGGTTAAGCTGCTGCCTTCGGCTCAGGTCATGATCTCAGGGTCCTGGGATCGAGTCCCGCATCAGGTTCTCTGCTCGGCAGAGATCCTGCTTCCCTCTCTCTCTCTCTGCCTGCCTCTCCATCTACTTGTGATCTCTCTCTCTGTCAAATAAATAAATAAAATCTTAAAAAAAAATAAATGCATAGGATATCAAACATGTTAACAAGAATCCCCATCTTCACTTTTTAAATGTGTGCTAATGCTGTCACCATTTGCACCTACCCCATGGCAAACATATCAGATCTGAAAGCAACCCTACAAGGCATGAATTATCCCCACTTTACTCCACAGATGAGAACATGGAGGCTCAGAAGGTTTAGTACAGTGGCCTAGGTCATACAGCATGAAAACAGCAGAGCTGAAGTTCGAATCTGACAGGTCTGACCAACTCAACCGTCTAGACTTTCAATCTATCCGTACAAAACTATGACAGCCCCTTGCTGCTGTATATCCTGCCACCCCAGCAAAGATGTTATGTTATAAAAATAGAATAATGTCAGCACCAGGATAGCATATCATCATGAGGGATGTGGAAGGATCCAGACAGTCCTAAGCCTGATTCGCAGAGTCACTTCAAGTTAGCTGTGTGCCCACAGGCAAATCCTCGGGCTCACTGCAGCCCAGCTTCCCAGTCTATGGAGTGAGAATAATAATTCTTACAATAGGGTCATGATGGTGGTTGAGGAAGAGGCTAAGTTCCCGGCACATAGTAGTTGCTCAATAAATATCAAGCATTCAGTAAGTATTTATGTCAACAAGGGCCCCCGGAGAGGGACCTGGAGCTGTGTCCCGCCAACCAGGGACACCCCTTTCTTTTTTGCTGCTGTTGGGTCCTTCCCCAGAGCCACCTTTCCAAAGAAAGATCAGAATAATCAGGACTCACGGGATAAGAGTCTTTTTCAGAATCTTGGTGTGATCATTGGGGTTGTAATAACCAGGTCCAGGGCCCGTTGATGTCAGTTTTAATCCACGTTCAGTTTTTGATTTAAAACAAGACATTAATACCTTTGGCGACTGCTTCACAAGGGAGTCGTTGATATTATAATGTCCTAAGAAGAAAGACATTTTAAATAACAGAATAAGGAACTCTTCTCAAGTAAATGAAAAGCTACTACTTCACACCTAAAAATACATTTAATACTATAAGGGGGTATCTCTCCACGGTGGTCTGATGAAAGGACTGTGTGAAGTCACTGAAAATCACATTCATCCTCGAGGAAACAGATGGGTCACTGTCACCTCCATTCTAGAGAGGTGGAAACGGAGACTTGGAGATATTGAATGATTTGTCAAAAAGATTTCATCTAACTAGGAACTAAGCCCAGCTTTCTCCTCCATAAGGTAAGACTAATTCTTCCAGCAACAGGGTGGTTAGGAAAGTTGAATAATATTGAAGTTCCTGGCACATGGTAGTCATTTAGTAACTATTATGCAATCGACAAATATTTATTGAGTACCTACTATGTGGACCCGGGGCCACCGGTCTCCAAAGTCCACGCTTTCCCACCACGCCCTGTTTCAAGAAACTGAGAGAATAAAATAAAATTGGCTGTGCATGAAGCTTCACAGAGGAAGAGAAGGTCCTGGGCTGGGGGAACAGAAGGCAGTCTCACCCCTGAATTGTTGGGAGCCCTGTCGGGGGTACGGGTGTTTTGCAGTACAAAGAGGGAGTACTGACCAGAAATCTTGAGGATGCCTGGATCCTCTGACCCAGCTTTCCCATTATCAGAAATTAAAGAAATTAGTCAACATAGGGGAAAAGTTCTAAGCATAGAGACGTACACAACAGCAGCAGCCGCAGTGTGAGAAGGGTACGTGGCCCGAAGGTCCAAGAGCAGAGGCACTGTGCTGGGCCCAGAAGCCCAGTCCGGTGGAAGGTCAGCCCTGGCCACGATAAACATGGAGACCATAAAGCCACATGGCCATGTTTTTGGGGGAGGGGGGAAGGTGAGTGAAAATAATATCTAAAAGTCGCTATATATACCAGGTACAAATGGATCCGTCTGAACAAAAATACATGGGAACCCACGAACATGGTAGCACTGTGGGTGAGAAAAATATTTCAAGTTTTCTAAACATTGTAAGATTGATTTTGTTTCAAATAAAATGTACTTTTCCATTGCAAGTGTACTGAAAACAACAGGGGGGATTAGCAAGATAACGTATTAGCAAGATGCTCTTTGAATGATCATACCCAGTGGTGGCAAAGGTGAGGAGATACAGGTGCCTCGTAGAAGCAGGAGGATAAATGACCTCTCTGCTGAAGGGCAATTTGGTCACCGATATAAAAGAGAAAAAACAACACTGAAATATGACTTGGCAATTTCAATTTAAGCAATTAATATAAGGAAATAATCTTGATTGTACACAAGCTGGGAGCTACAGGGATGTTTGCTGTCTATTTATATAGTTAGCAGTTTAAAACAACCTACATTTTCGGGGTGCCTGGATGGTTCAGTGAGTTAAAGCCTCTGCCTTCAGCTCAGGTCGTGATCTCAGGGTCCTGGGATCGAACCCCGCATCGGGCTCTCTGCTCAGGGTGAGCCTACTTCCCCTCCTCTCTCTCTGCCTGCCTCTCTGCCTACTTGTGATCTCTGTCTGTCAAATAAATAAATAAAATCTTTTAAAAAAATTTTAAAAAATAAAACAACCTACATTTTCAATAAAAGGCCATTTGGTCCTTAACTTATGGTACCACCATCCAATGGAATACCATAAGTCCGTTTCAAAATGATATTCTTATGGGGTTTTTTAATAACATGAAAAGATGTTCCCAATATATGGTTAGCAAAAGGCAAATGTCCATTTAGCAGCCTTTGTAATATTGGTATACATTTCTCATAGTTTGTTTCTTTTTCTCTCATGAACATGTAAATATGTATATATTTATACATACACAAATGTATTTTTTTTTCCCATCCACAGAAAGGTTAAAGCAATCACTTGATTATCACATGCTGAAAAGCAGAAGCAAGAAGAAAAAGACACTGTGCTCCCGCGTCACAGAGAGAAACAGATAACTGCTGGTGTATTTCCTTCTCGTCTTTTCCTGAGTGTGTTTGGAAGACAACGCGGTGTGGATCTCACAGTGCAATTCCTATTCTGAAACCCATGTTTTTCAAGTGACATTTTAACTTTGGCCTTTCCTCCTAGCCTGATAGCCTTTTTAAAATTTTTATTTTAAGGAAAAATAAAGAGGAGGACATTTGTGACATGCTTGGCAGGTGGAAACTAGAAAACCCAACAGATGTTTGACAGTGAGCATTTTCCTCAGAGTTGAAGGTAGGCCAGTCCTGACCCTCAGCGTCTGAGGAAGGGGTCCCCAGAGAAGCTGGGCCAGAGCCAGGGACCCAGCAGGGGGCGCCAATTACAGCTCCATATCTGCCCCCCTGCTCCCCCCACTCCGCCTCCACCCTCCCAGGAGGAGAAGGAACAACTGGAGTTATTTCTGAGAGGTCAAAACCGATCGTTTGTCGCAGATTCCCCAGGCAAATTTTGGGTGGGGAGTGACTAAGCCACCAGGCATCAAGTGGGAAGGGCCCGGACTCCAATCCACCGGTGGGACCCTGGGCATCATTTTTGCCTGTACAAGAGGGACCCATATTAGCAGTAGCTCACGCTTTCTGAGCACACGATTGTGTGCCGGCCACAATCTCCACAGGGTCTGGAGATCATTCGATGAGAAACGTAAAGCCTCTGGCACACAGTAGGAGTTTAGCATGCACTGGTACCCACCTCTCCCCGCCCTGCTCCAGGATAAGGGGCTGGGGACCCCTGAGGACCCTCCTAGAAGGAGCAGGCACTGCACATGTGGCGGGCTGAGAAGGTGCCCACATCCCAGGGCTCACGGGTAGGGCCTCTGGCCAGTCTCCCGGGGATGCGGGCTTTGTTCTGTATAAATAAACAAGGTGGGGCTTTGCCTCTGATGATGCAAGCCAGGGGAGCTTTAGCCTGGGTTTAGCCTCCTAATTAGGGCTGGTTTTGTTATTCAGCTTCAGACTGATCTTCTCAACTTTAATCTGGATTTGATGAAATCCGACAGGCCTGCAATTTTATCCACACCCCGCCTCCAAGAGGTGTGACTGCGCAGGCAAACCCTCCCTGCTCCTCCCTTCAGCTCTGGGGCTCCAGGCTCCCTGCTGGGGGGACGGGGGATCTGCAGGACCCACTGGGAAGGTCTGCTCTGACGAGAGCTCCCAGAGTGCCAATGGCGGCATCGCCTGACCTCTCTGGAAACCTTTCACTGAGGCTGGAAGCGGGGAGCAGGTCTGAGAGAACAGGACGGAGCAATAGCTCTCCCAGCCCAGAGAGGAAAACACTTGCAAGCCAGCTCTTGGGACCGTTTCAGAAGTCACTGTGGGCTGATTGGGATAATAGTCTCCTCAGAGAGACACCTCTGGGCCTAGGCCTGCCGTCCGTCCGCTGTGTGATGCGGGGCAGGTCACTACCACTCTCTGAGCCCCTTTTCCTCACCAGAAAAGCCCCACTGAGAGTACAAGCCAAGGAAGACAGATGTGCAAGGACTGCGTGGAAAATTCTTAGCATGGTGTAGGCTCTGAGTAAATGGAGCCATTTTCCAGTGCTTGGTGACTAATTGACAAAGTGCCCTCTAGGCTCAGGAGGAAAGGAAGGGTCTGGACACTCAGTGTATTGAGTACACCCTCCCCACCACACACACCCCCAGAGACTGTAGGGACACCTGGGGCACAGGGATGTGCACCCTTCTGTGGTGAGAAGCCACTTCCCCATCTGGCTGCCCAGAACAGATGTGCCTGGTCATGAAAAGGGAGGCCAATGAGGCCGCTTTGGGGCCATTTCCAGAACAGCCTTTGTTTCCTCGAAGGGGGAGACCTGGTCTTTTCCTCAGCTTTCTCCTTTTTGTTCAACACTTGTTCAACATCCCCGCTTCCTCCAAAGCCGAACTCTTTCCAAAGAGACTCTCTATGAAGCCATGGTGCCCCACAGAGCCGATCTGGTACGTTAACCCTGAGGTCAAGGCCCTTGCCAGGTGTCTGGCTGCTTACCTGGGGCAGGTCCCGTTTCAGCGACACTGAAAAATCCTCTCTGGGTTTTGGACAGAAACCCGGCTTGGGCACAGATGTTGTTTCTCTGCTTGCAGTAAGAGACAGAGGTCTGGGGGGAGAACACAAGCACGAGTCCCTCAGAGAATGAACGGACTAGAGTGGAGACGGTCCCCCCGACTGTGCCTTTGCCATCACCCCAGCTGGAGAGGCCAAGGAGTCTGTGATCACCAGCAGATGTCTGGTCACCCTCCATGGCCCAGAGGACAGAACCAGGAAGAGAGCCCGAAATCTGGCTCCCAGGCTGGCTGCCTGCTCTACTTGAAGCAATTAGGGTGACAGCGGTCAGCAGACATCACCTACAGGACAGCGTCTTTTTCAAGCCTGTAACACTGCAAATGCACACTGTTTTCCTTATTTTCTCTATGCCTTTTGTCCCTTTCAGGACACTGAGTCCTACATCTCCCCACCCTGATTCCTTACTGTTCAAACAGCCCTCCTATGAACACAGGACTGGGGAGACACACAAGGGCATCAGGTAATGGAAGATGGTGATCAGATCTGTAACAGTCCCTTGTCTTGACTTTTCTGGACCGACCAGAAATTAAAAATTTTGACTGATCCAAACAATATACAGCATGTTTGGCACTCTGAAGATAACAGGTGAGGAAAAAAAAGAAAAAGAACCCTGAGCTCATTCCTCTGCTATATTGAATCATAAATATTTTAAATACCAATTTGTAGTCAGTGCCCTGTATTCATTAGATAAAGACGCAATAAAAATCATAAAGGCAGTGACTGGGAATATTTACTGAACGAGTGAAACTATTTGCTGGGGCCAGGATGGTTTGATTTCTCTGAGATACTCTTTTGTCAAAAAAAAAAAAATGTTTCTCAAGAAATGCAGATGGCATTTTGATTTTGTGTTTACAAAGGGGGAGGAACTTAGCTTTTCCCAGGGTCCCGATGGCTAGAATGCATGCAGGGAGGGCAAACAAAAGCATCAGATGGGGCAGGCTAATTACTGGACAGAGGGACAGGAGCCAGGGTGCCGGGGAGGAAGTAATCACATGGTATGGAGAAAAGGGATTCGCCTGGAGAGGTGGGGGATCCAGGTAAGCAAAGGAAAAGAAAAGCCCTAAGAGACCTCGCCTGCAGTGTGGCTAACACGATTATCACACTTCTGCTTCTTGCCGGTTGACTTAACCATTGTTCTCCAGGTCAGAAAAAAAGCCTCCTGTAGACAAAACATGATTTCAGCCTTATTCCTCATCCAGACAGAAAAACAACTGAAAGAGGGAGCATTTTTGTATACTCTGAACGTGTGTCACTAGGAGATTTCACCATTAGACGAGGAAAACAGTCGGCTAGCTTGACTGGCCGGTTGGGGAAAAAAATGAAGCAGGTTTGTTATATCACCATGGAGGGGAAAAATCCAAGATAGAGCTGAGTAGAAAATGCACGAGTACCGTGGACACCATAATCCTAATACCGGAGATAGGGATGGGGGAGGAAGAGACTACGAAAGAAATTGCACCTATTTTTGCTGGTGGTCTGCTTTAGAGGGCAGAATTCTAAGAGAATTCCGCTTTTCTAGTTCATGAATTTCTAAAATACTTGAATATATTTAATGAAGAGCCTAAATTATTTTCACAGTCACATTAAAACAATAATCAACAAAAACCATGCACTTAAAATTGATCTGTTGGCAGAAAGTCTGAGCTCTGACTTGGGAAAGGGTGTTTTCTAGATTAACTATATACCCCTGGGGTAATTCTTTCAACGTCATAAGCATTTATTGCAAGTGTTCCGTCTGCCAGGACCTGTGTGGGGCACTGGAGGTTTCAAGCTGGGTGATGGAGCCCACAGTGGGGTTGTGGAGGCAGACGCACAGAACACTAACTCCCTCTCTCAGGAATGGCAAAGGTGCAAGGACCAAGAACATTATCCATTTCTTGGACCAGGCCTTGGTCTCTCTCCTGTTAGCGTAACAGCCTCCTAACTGGTTTTTCAAAATCCACTCTTTACCCAAACTATGGTCCATTCTCCATAGGGCTTGCTGGAGGGAGTTGTTTTTTTTCTTTAAAGTACATCAGATGATGTCATCCCACAGAAAACCAAATGAAAGACCCCTCCCAGGGTCTTCAGGGTCCTGAATGAACTAGCTCCTGCCTATTTGGCTTCCCCTTTCCCCCTCTCCTCCTAGCTAATGCTACTCTAGCTACCTTCTTGTAGTCTCCAAAGGCTGTCCCAGGACCTTTGTACATGCTGTTCCTCCAACTCTAGCTCTTCCTTCAGTTCTTAGGTCTCAGCCTCAGAGCCTTCTCTGACCACCCAGTCTAAAGTACATGATGCTCTCAACCCCCCATATTCTCCACATATTCTATCTCTCAGACCTCAACTGTTTGTTTGCTTCAAAGCTGGCCACCGCTTGTAATTCTTTGGTTTGCCCATTTACTAGTTTTGTCTTGAGCTCCTCGCTGGAATCTAAGCTGTATCCCTGGTCTAGCACAGGGCAGCCACAGATTCCACGAAGGGAGACCCAGCAGGGCTGGAACACGATGACGGATCACTCTCCAGCTGTATCCCTCAGCCGTCTACTTGTGCTCACCGATATGCAAACAGTCCCTTTAGCCAGATAACTTTGGACAAATCCCGTCCCTTCCCTGAGCATCAGTTTCCTCTTCTGTAAATTGGAAGAAGAGATAACTCACTTCAGGGATTCTTGTGATTATCAAACAAGATTAATACATCATTCTTAGAACGGCATATAGGCCTTGAAAAGTACTTCACCGTCCTCCTCATTATTATTTTCAGGCTCTGATTATCTCAGGGGAAGACTAGAGCTGTGCTGTATAATAGAGTAGGCGCTGGCGATCGAGCCCTAGAAACACGACTGGTCCACATTAAGATGTGCTGAAAGTATAAAACACATACTGGTGCGCCTGAGTGGTTCAGTGTGTTAAGCCTCGGCCTGCAGCTCGGGTCATGATCTCAGGGTCCTAGGATCAAGCCCCACATCGGGCTCTCTCCTCAGCGGGGTACCTGCTTCCCCTCTCTCTGCCTGCCTCTCTGCCTACTTGTGATCTCTCTGTCAAATAAATAAATAAAATAAAATAAAAAAACATATACTGGATTGTTAAGATAGACGGAAAGAATGTAAAACATCAATTATTTTATTTATGATTACATGTATAATTATAATTAATAGTATAATTAATCTTTATATTGATGAGACATTGAAATAATATTTTGAATACACTGCGTTAAATAAATAAATATATTCTTAAAATTGATTTCACCTGTTCCTTTTTACTTTCAAATGTGACTACCGGGAAGATTTAAAGATTTTGTTTATTTATTTCTGTGAGAGAGAGAGAGAATGAGCATGAGCAGGGGGAAGGGGAGAGGGAGAAACAGACTCCCCATGGAGCGGGGAGCCCGATGTGGGACTCGATCTAGGACCCCAGGATCATAACCCAAGCTGAAGGCAGACACGTAACCGACTGAGCCACCCAGGTGCCCAAGATTTAAATGATGTGTGTGGCTACCACTATATTTCTATTAGACAGTGACAGCCTAGCGGGCCCATACATTGTTTTGAGCACATTGTAATTGATTGGATCAATCACAGAAAGTTGGCAGGGTCTTTGTAGGCAGAAAATTAATATTACTTAAAGGTATTATATAAGAAAAAGGAGGATGCCTGAGTGGCTCAGTTGGTTAAGCCGCTGCCTTCGGCTCAGGTCATGATCCCAGTGTCCTGGGATCGAGTCCGGCATCGGGCTCCTTGCTCGGCAGGGAGCCTGCTTCTGTCTCCGCCTCTGCCTGCCACTCTGCCTGCATGTGTGTGCGCGCACGCTCTCTCTCTTTCTGACAAATTAATTAATTAATTAAAAAATAAAAGAAAAGGGAAATAAAAAATGAAGTACTCTGAGACCAAAGTATCTAAGACCATATATGACAATATATCATAATCATGTTAATACTTTATACACAATTCATTTCTTAGGTATTTTGCAGTCAAATGCTCTACCACTGAGCTATATACCCCCTTTTTCTTATGTATTTTGGAGTGTTGTCTCATTGGTTCTTATAATAACCCTGTAGGGTGAGTATAATTGATTCCATTTGACAATTGAGGCTTAAGAGGTAATATGACTTCCCTAAAGACAGCTCTGCCGATCTCCACGGATGGTGGGGTCCTTGTGCGGCCAAGACCTGGGCTAAGCACTCAGCTCAGATGACCCAATTTAACATTTGCATGAACTTTATGAAGTAGACACATTTCCCCATTTTGCAGATCAATAACTTGAGTCCTGAAAACTGAAGGGACATGCCCAGATCCACACAGTTGGAAAAGGGCAGCATCCACTTGAACCTGACTCTGTCTCTTAACCATTAATCACACCCTTCTGCTTCCATGACTACAAAGTGATTGCAAGTGGCAGAACATTACTGCTAAAAATCCAATTTCTGATATGGAAATATGGAAGCTTATTTTCCTTTTAAAAGCCTAAGAAGTAAATGGATAGTGACTGCAGATAATGTGGGAAATAATAATTGTTATAGATGAGAATATGTCCCAGAAAGTCTCTGTAGTAGGAGTAATTATAGTATTTTCCAGGGCAAGGTCTTCCCACTGCTTCCCACTGACCTCCGTGTTGCTCACATTTTTCTCTGGGTTCTGCAAATTCCCCATAAAGCCATGTGCAGCCTTCTGTACCTGCTGGGCAGTCAACAAACACTACGTGGTTTGTCAATTGCATTGGAACGCTATTTCCCAAAGCGTCCCCCGCCTTCGTTTATTTTAGTAAAGAATTCATCCAGTATATATTTAACAAGCGCATGCAACGTTCTTACATTGTACTGGTTTGGTGCAGGAGTTTCAAATTTGAGGACTTTTGCAAAGCTTGGCAACTGGAACATGCTGGAACAGGAATTACTGAAGTCTTTCTTCGAGACAAGACGTGATGGGATAGTGTATGCGTTCGCTGCAGGGTATTTAGAAATGATGGTGTCCAACCGGGCGCGCTGCAAGGACAAAACCAAAGGAATCAGCACTCTCACGTAATCTCTGGGCTCTGCGGGACAGATGTCAAAGGAATGGTGGCCAGCACTAGGTCTAAAAGCATTGTGAGAAGGCTGAAACTCCTGCGGGTAGCAATGATAAACTGACCTCAGGCTTTGAGGATTTGCTCTTGGAGAACGCAAGTTCTGACCTGTTCTGACTTCTGTAAACTAACTCAAATTATTCACCTAATATCTGGGACTCGGCAAAAATAATTTTGCCATAAATGCATTGCCACCCAATCCCGTTTCAAGCCACATACCTCATCAACTGTTGGGTAATTTATATGATGGGAAGCTTTAAACTTTCTTCCTCCAGCCAAGGCTTTCCCTCTGAGTAAAACCTCATGTCTTGTTTCTAAGATTAAGTAATCTGAATTGCTTAAATAACAAGTTTGCTTCGAATGTCTTAAAGGTACATGGGTCGATAGGGCTTGCTGTCCAACCATGCCTCCTACCCTCCACCTAATTGCTGATTTCTTTTTTCTTTTTATTTTTTTATCTTTTTTATTTTTTTTATTTTTAAAGATTTTATTTATTTATTTGACAGACAGAGATCACAAGTATGCAGAGAGGCAGACAGAGAGAGAGAAGGGCAAGCAGGCTCCCTGCTGAGCAGAGAGTCTGATGCGGGCCTTGATCCCAGGACCCTGGGATCATGACCTGAGCCGAAGGCAGAGGCTTAACCTACTGAGCCACCCAGGCGCCCCTCTTTTTTCTTTTTAGATTTATTTATTTGAGAGAGAGAGAGAGAGAGCGAGCATGAGCAGGGGGAGGGGCAGAGGGTGACAGGGAAGCAGTTTCCCTGCTGAGCAGGGAGCTGGATGCGGGGTTTCTATCCCAGGACCCGGGGATCATGACCTGAGCTGAAGGCAGACACTTATCAACTGAGCCACCCAGGCACCCCCTAATTGCTGATTGCATAGAACCCTACAATTTTTTTTTTCTCTTTCAGTAGAACCAATCCTACTCCTTCCAGGAAGTCATCATAAACTATTTTCAGATTTAAAAAAAAAGAAATAAAGCAAGCAGAATCAATGTTTGCCAAATGAAAAGGGGCAAAAGCCATAGAAACTAGGTGATAACATCGCTTTACCCTAGGATAGTATGGCAAGTATCGGAGTCTGATAAAACAGACAAACAAAAAATTCTCATTATTTTATGGTTAAAAGCTTGAGAACACCTCAGCTGACTAGGGGTCAGTAACTACACAAACACAGAAAGTGGGTGGGGCTGTGAAGAGGCATGGACCCTCCCTCCCACCAGCTGCTCACCCTGAGTTTCATGGCAGTGGTTCTCAACGTCTAGTCTATGGAACACTGATGGTATACGGGTGGACGAGCTCCCGGGGACAAACACGTTCTTATCCAGAGTCTCAGCTGTTCAGAGTCTAACCTGGATTCAACTCCCAGTCAGCCTTCTCTAATGGTCAGGATTCACTCATGCTCCCAGAAAGAAGGTTACCCCAGCCTTCTAAGCTCTTTGCATTTTGGGCAATAGTTAATGGAATGCTTTCCATGGGCTGTTGTGTTTAATTTTCTTGAAAAACCTGGGGAGTGGATATTATGATTATCCTCACTTTACGGATAGGACACTGGGCTTTGTCTGCCATTCGAGGGTGGAACCAACATTGTCACCAGTCTGTCCCCACTACGTGATATAGATTAGATATCTCATTCTAAAGGGAAAAAGTCAAAAAGAATAAAGCAATACATGTTTCATTTATAGGATGGGCAGCTGATGAATGACTGTGGGATGTTCTAGTTCAAGGGGAATCTCTACCCTCTCTCTCCTCTGCCCAGTAGGATAGGCACATCTTTCCCTTTCACTTCCACAGAGGAAAGCTGGTAAAGGCTGGTAAAGGCTGGTAAAGGCTGGTGAGGTGAAACCACCCCCCAGGGGTCCCGTTTGTAGCATGTCTATCCTGACTCACCCAACAGATGAGGCAAGCACGCTTTTCAAAAACACTATTTCCCGAAGGGTTCCTTGGCATACCAGTTTTATAAGATAGGTTAGTGCTGGTGATGGCAGCAGCAGGGAGAGAGTTCCAGAGTCAAACAAACTTAAGAAGCCTCATACTGTGTTCCCACGTTGAAGGCTCACCATAAAGCCCACCATGTTAAGTATCGTGAGAAGTCCTACCATAAACAAACCTAACTTCACTTACCCAGCTTTTCTGAAACTTACTAGATCATAAAATCTTTTTGGCTTAGAATACCTGTGAACATACTTGTAGGAAAAAAATTGTTCTAATTGTTCATTTGAAGCCAATTTTCATAAACATTATAATAGAATTTGTCTCAGAGTAACACTCATTCACATGATCTTGACTTTCTTTTCATTGCCGGGCCTGTGGGCTCCAATCTGGCTACATGCCGGCATTTGTGAACCTCTCTCCAGCACCTACTAATTTTTCCAGAACCACTCCCGCCACCATGCAAACAGAAAGGCCATGAAAGTCTCCTCCCAGCGGCCTCATTTAACATCCTGTCAGCCTCATGAATAATCCTGGAACAAAGATTTAGAATACATTAATGAAGCTCTTTAAATTATTTGGACTTAGCAAGATGACAGGTCCTCTCTGAAGGTTGGGTGTAGTGGTTCCAAAAGTCATCAGGAAGTTTCTAGAATTTATGGATCCACAGAGTTTCTTAGTCAGCCTCACCTACAATCACACTCCTCCTGACTATACCAGTGTCAGTCAGGCAGATCTTCCTCCGAGGAGGTCTCCTTTTCCTACCCTCAGAGTCCTTGGATGCAGAAATGGAGGAGGTGTCAAATGTGAAAGTCACTAAGGGGATGGGGGGGCATGAAATTCACATCGGCGCAGAAAGGAAATAGCTAAGATGTGGAGTCTCCTAACAGATCTCCATGGGCCACTGCAAGCTGGTTACAGGAATCTAAATATCTATAAATATAAATTCTCATCCATCAAAGCAGGGACAGGAAGCCTGCACAACTCCATGTCTGCTTTCTTTTGGGTTTGGTCTGAATTTTTTAAAGACCTGATGGGCCCGACTAGGTTCTGTAAAACTCGGACCCTCCCCTGGGCCTCTTCTCCTCCAGAGGGCTCAGCCTCGTCGTTTGGAAAGTTATTGTGCACAAAGCCTAGCAGGGAATTGGTCGTGTGCTCTCATTTGATCCCCTCTTTGGCACCAAGCAGGAGTGGGCTGTGCCACTCTACGGTAGAGAATTTCTCGGAGAGAAAACCTGGGAGGTGCAGGAGGTCTTGTTGGTGACTCAGGTGGTAACACTCATAATATTTAACATGTTTACAATACTTCACAGTTTCAAAGAGCATTTCGCTCATTGCAATTTGCACAGCGCCTCCAGGGAGTCTCCACTTTTATGAGGTAACTGGGACACAGAAGGGTGACGTGCTTGAGGCCACATCGAGAATCCTCAGCTGAGTCAGGCTCAGGTCTGAAGTCTTGTCTCCTGAGTCAAGACTTCGTGAGATGGCACTTCTGTTGCCGATTGCTTTCAGGTCCCTTCATCTGCAGGGTTTGGGGCAGAAAAGGAGGCAGAGGCATGGTTCACTGGAGCCATGGGTGACTTCCACATCTCCGCTGATAGGGAGCTAACTTTAAAGTCAGCTCTGCCAAAGTCAAATTCCAGTAAGTGACTGCCTTCAGCGTGTCTTAAATGGACCCTTTGTGTGGTGCTTTGTTTTGTTTTGAAATCGGTTCCAGTGTCAGGCATTATAATACATCTTTGCAAGAGATTGTTGTAATTTTTAAAGGGACAGAAGGCATATGTGTTTTGTTGATGCTAGTTTGGGTTTGCTTTCTTTTTCACTTTTCTACCTCAGCTAATTTTACCCCAGTTTGACCCTTTTCCCTCACTATATATCTTCTTCTTGCCAATTTATAGATACTCAAATTAAGAACAAAAGAAAAAAATCCTTGCCCAGGTCTGGTCAGGGACATCAGCACTTCATATAGATCCTTGATTCTTAGAGCCATCCACAAAGATAAAGACCCACATCTTACAAAGAAGGGAAGGAAGATCACTCCATTTCAGCCTGTTGCCTGCTTCCTTTTTGCTCCCGGCAGATTTCCCAATAATTTGAAAAACCCAATTAGACCAAGTGGTGTAAAACACCCTGTTAGGGTAAGATCTTTTCCCTGGTGCCTAGAAATCTCAGGAAAACATCTGCTTAGCCCACCCCACAATGACAAAGTTGATGTGGATGATCAGGTTCTGAATATCCCTCTAGCCTCTCCTCTCACTCTGGCCATGTGGAGCAGTGAGGGGGGAAATCACTTAAAGACACAGGCTCTAATTTACCTGCGTGACACCTGAGGCAACAGTTACTCTCCTAATTAGAACCACGGTCTTTGGAGAGAAGGGACCAGCGGTCCAATACGTGTTTACACAATGGACGAAGGAAAGTGCTGATCTGCTAATGGCCTTACTCGGGAAAGAGGTTCTCACCATAGAGGGAAAAGTGCACGTCCCTTTCTTAGACAACGAGGCACTGTTGAACACTGGAGATTGGTGAATGACGTTGTAGAACCCCGGACCTGGGATGCTATCCTGAAAGGAAGAGAATGGGGTGTCATAGCGGTACATTCATTTCCACTGTGCTTTTCTCCAAGCTTCATAACCATTAATGCTCGGCCTCACTGTCATCCTCCGGGACAGGCATCACTACCACTTGGTGGAAAGCTGGCTCCACCATTTCCTAGCCTGCCTGCTCACTGTCTCAGTTACCAAGTGCTGGAGGTTGGAATTCCAGCCTGGGTCTGAGACCCCCAGCCTGGATCTGACTCGCTGCACCACGCCTTCCCGCGTTCCAGAAGAATGCTGTTGTTTTTTTCATGCCGTTAGAGAAATGAGCACAAGATGGGATGCTCGGTGTGGCTGATACGCAAGTCAGTGTGTGCTGATTGGGGAAGGCAAGCCCAAGGTGAGGGAATGATGACTGATTTCACATTAACCGCACCCACCTGACTCAGCTTCCGCCTCAGCCTTTCAGAAGAAAAATCAGGGAGTGTTTCTGTTTATAAAGCAAAATGAAACAAAAACAACCTTCATCCCAAACAAGACCGTTTCTAATTCGCAAAAAAAAAGAAAGATTCAGAAGCTCAAATTATAAATGATGCAGGTATGATAGAGACGAATAAGCAGAAGCTTGATTTCTAAGCTCGTTTCTGCTTTTGCAGTTAATTGAACTTTCATCTCATTTCCCATGCTAGTTACCAAGGGGAAGTATTATGTTGACAGAAGTTGGCCAAGCAAGTGGCATGAAAGGATACGAATGTTCCACTGTCCTGAGAGTTTACTGGGTGCCAGCTTGATGGTACGAGCTTTTCAAAGGTTGCTTCGTTTAGTCCTCCAAGAGGAAGGGGTTACTGTCCCCATTTTACAGGTGGAGACACTGAGGCAAGTGGAGATGAATTTGCCCAATATCCCACTGCTACAAGTGTTAAGGACGTGAAGAACACAAAATCTCTGCAGTTTCTCCAACCTCCTCCCCCAAGGCTCATCCTGCCTCCACCGTCCCTACTACCTTTCTCAGGGCAGAAAGAAAGCCTGAAGTGCCACCAGGGCCTTCCAGGACTTTCCAGTCTGGCCTGAGCAGTATCTGATTATGGTTTAATATATGAGACAGAACCACCAGTGAGATTAACAGGTTCCTCTGCACTGAATTTTAACTGCAGTGAACCCTTGGAGCATCGCTCGAAGCCGGTGGGTACAGGGCACTGATTCCCACTTTGTAGGTGATGATGATCTCAGATGCACAGAGCGGGGGCTGACCACCAGGGAGAATGGGGCAGACCATGAGACGGGAGGCAGAACCTGGTGCACCGGCGCCCTAGGCCAAGTTCAGAAGACACTGGCACGTGGGAGCAGATTCAAGGAGCTCCAGGGAAAAAAGGAAGAGATTTTTCTAGGGGGCTGTTCATGGGGCTAGCATTTATTTATTGAGTGGCCGCTCACTGTGTGCCAGCCACTGTTCTGAGTACTTTACACGCAGCAACTCATTTAATCCCCATTTTAATTCATTCATTAATTATTTTGAAGATTTTATTTATTTGACAGCAAGAGAGAGAGAGCACGAGCAGGGGAAGTGAGCGGGAGAGGGAGAAGCAGACTCTCTGCTAAGGGTGGGACCAGATGTGGGACTCCATCCCAGGACCCTGAGATCATGACCTGGGCCAAAGGCAGACACCTAACCCTCTGAGCCACCCAGGTGCCCCTTAACCCCCATTTTAAAGATGGGAAGACAGAGCCAAAAGAGATAGGGCCCAAGGTCACATGACTAGTAACTGTCAGGGCCAGAATTTGAACCTAGGTGGTCTTAGTACAAAGTCTACTCCTTTTTTTTTTTAATTGACATATAACTGACACATAACATTATACTTTCATATATTTTTTAGTTTTTTTAATTGACATATAACTGACACATAACATTATATTATATTAGTTTTGTGTATACGGCATGATTCAATATTTGTACATGCTGGAAAGTGATCGCTACAGTAAGTCACGTTAACATCTGTCGCCATATACGGTTGCAGAATTTTTGCCTTCTGATGAGAACTTTAAAGATCTACTTTCTTAGCAACTCCCAAAATGCAATACAGTTTCGCTAACTGGGGTCACCACGCTGTATATTACATCCCCCTGACTTATCTATTTGATAATTAGAACTTTCTACCTTCTGACTCCCTTCATCTATTTTGTCCACCCCCATCAAACATAGAATCCACTCTTACTCACTAAACCAAACTGACTTTCAAATGAGAATGTGTAGGATAAAAAGAAAAAAAAAATCCCACAGACTTTTTTTTTTTAAGATTTTATTTATTTATTTGTCAGAGAGAGAGCACAAGCAGGCAGAGCTGCAGACAGGCAGAGAGAGAAGCAGGCTCCCCGCCGAGCAAGAAGCCCTATGCAGAACCCTGGGATTATGACCTGAGCCGAAGGCAGCAGCTTAACCCACTGAGCCACCCAGGCGCCCCCACCCCCAGACTTTTGAGTCAGGAAATTTTAGTCTCAATGCTGCAACTAGCTAAGTGACCTGAAGCAAGTCACATCACGGGGCCTCAGTTTCCTCATTTGTAAATCAGAGACGTCAGACTCAAAGCCTTTGGGTGCTTCTTAGTTTCGAGAGCCCCTAAATCAACAAGGAGCTGAAGCAGGGCATGTCACTGTGACTCTTCCAGGTTTAAGCAGCAAACAAGGAAGACGTGCACCTCTGGCTTTCGGTCCTCCTGCCACCCTCAACACCTCCATCAGTTCACACACATTTTCTGGGCACCCACACGACATGTCTAAGGAGATGGAGTTGCCTCCTAAAATTCAAGACACACAAAGCTGCTCCCTCCCACCTTGCCCAGTTAAATCTGAATTTCAGCTAAATAACCAAAAGCTATTTTATTTTATTTTTAATATTTCATTTATTTATTTATTTATTTATTTATTTGACACAGAGAGATCACAAGGAGGCAGAGAGGCAGGCAGAGAGAGAGAGAGGAAGCAGGCTCCCTGCCGAGCAGAGAGCCCGATGCGGGACTCGATCCCAGAATCCTGAGATCATGACCTGAGCTGAAGGCAGAGGCTTAACCCACTGAGCCACCCAGGTACCCCCCAAAAGCTATTTTAGTGTAAGTAAATCCCATGCAGTATTTGGGACATACTTATACTAAAATAGTTGGTTGTCATTTATCCGAAATCCTTGATCACGTTTTAATTCTGCTGTGTTGCAAACTGGTTTGAGTCTGGTCCAAATACAAAGAGGGCTGTCACCTTACAGCCTGGAGGGAGAGAGGGCTGCCTTTTGGCCCTTAAGGAATCTCTGAGAAGAGTCGTCTAGGCAGCGGTAGGCTAGAGCTGGCCCATGGCAGCTCCAGAGGGTGATGGTTAGAATGTCAGAGATCTTGCTCGTGGTAGCTTGAAAGCAGGGTGGGAGTATTTACTCCCCAGAAATTGGCAAATGCTATAAATTAGAACTTTCCTTCACGGAGGGGAGAGCTGGTTTACCAGCACACCATTATCTTCTCAAGACAGGCAGGTAGGTTTCTAGGCTCCTCAGAGGGAAACCTCCAATGGCAGAGCCTTCAGGCCTTTCTCCCCTGAGTGCTAGGAGGGCTGGTGAGTGGCCGGCTGGGAGGGTCATAAATATCCAGGATGTTTCACTTCCGGGATAACAGTTTTTGAGTGAGTTTAGACGTCTCAGAGCGCATTTCTGAAACAAGAATCCAGGTTGCCATTGGGGTAATCTTAGCCACCTTCGGTTTCTTAGCCAAGACTACCCCAGTGGGCAAAAACCAGATAAACAAACAAAGCATAAATGGGTGTGGGGAGGGAGAAAGGAAAAGAATGAGCTTGACCACCTGCCTGCCCGGTGCGGAGTGGCCGATGTACTGCTGTCTCCCAGGCCTGCCCCACAGCGTGAGGATTAAATGAGTTGATACACAAAGGGGTGAGAGCCAGTGTGTGGCCACTCTTCTTGGCATTGCCAAGAAGTGGAGTGGAGCAGTGGAGCCAAACCTTCCCATGGGGGTTAAAGACCTTGAGAGTGGGACTGACCGGGGAGGACTGTCGGATGTGCCCCCACCCCTTGACCTAACACACATCTGGGGACATTTGATTGAAATGCACTTTGAGAGCCCTTCTGAAGGATTAGAATGACAAACGGCAGCCCCTGCAGGTGCCAAGGGTGGGACAAAGGTCTCCGTTGACTTGATCCTGGGATAGGCTGGACAGGTAATGAGAAGGAAACAACAGGGAGAAGGTCATGTACCTCCGCCTCCCCCACCCAGATATAAACTAGGTTACAGGAAGCTTGAAGTCCCCCAGCTTGGAGCCTGTTACATAGCCTGAATTTTCTAGGGCTGAGTTCCTAAATTCTGTCCAATCAGTATTTTTCAAATGAATGGTTTGTGAAACTGTTCCTTCGGTTGGGAAATGTAGTCTCTGTTGGATCCTTGGCTAAAGACCCTACTAGAGCTGCCTTTGACCCTTCAGAGATACTCCACCTTGCTTTGGTCTCTTTTGGGGGCTGGTGAGCTGGCGTTTCTCAGGGGGGCACAAGATGAATGAAATCTAGGGGTCTGTGGAAGGGCTTTGAAGTATCTGACAGGAGGAGGATGTGTCTGAGGTGGAAGCAGAGCCTGGGGCTGCGGTTAATCCACTGGTGAAACCACACAGAGATTTTGGGCTCTTGAGGGAATAATTTCCTTTTACAGATGCCTCTAGTCTTAGGGTCTCAGGACAATGTGTCCATCAACCCTGTTGACTTCATGGAAGCCAGAAAGCTTTTACTCAGGTTGACACGGCCAAAGGGATGAGGACAGCACAGATTTCATGGTGGGAGAGCAGGCACCTGCCCCCAGGACACATGTCCTCCCTGGACCTGAGGCCCCTCATCTGTGAACCTGCAAGGCCATGCATGTGGGTGTCAAGATCTGTGGTGTTCAGACCACATCCCTGGTATCCACCACCCAGGAAAGGGGGCTGGAGGTGGCCGGAGGTGGCAGCAGCTCCGAGCGGCAGTGCGTCCTTACCTGGCCCACCGGTGGCTTTCACTATGAGACACTGTCACAGAAAGGGCCCTTCTGCTGAGCCCAGGGATTCCAGGTCACTGAAGCCTTTCTGGTCCAAACCATCTCTCACTCTGAGATGGGCCCCTTGTAAGACACCCCTCGCCCTTCCTGCCTTCTCTCCCTCCCGGCCTCACCCCACATCTATTTCTGTCTGGTATCAAAGTTCCCGCCCCTCTGATCATGGCTGAAAAGGGAGAGAGAGGCAGCAAGCACACTCCACGCAAGAAAGCCTCACTGTTTTGTTCAGAATGGGGGAGGGCGTCAGCAGTGAAGGGTCCCTGGGAGCCCTAAGGGAGAAAGCCGGAAAACGGGATGAGGTCTCTTGAGATAGTTTCTGAGCCACTCAGGTAAGTGTGGGGAAGCCAGGGCGGAGGGACGAGGCCACCGGACAGATGAAACGGGCCCCAGCTGTTTGGGCACAGCTGGAAACACAGTCAGGCAAAAGCAGTCCACCCCGCATTTTTGAAGCCTTGGTTACTGTGGGTATGGTTCCCGAGAGCCACCTGCTTCTCTTTCAGAGCCTCCTCTGGCTCCAATCTAGTGTCCGCCTATTAGCAGCCCCTTGAAATCCCTTGAGCAGCACATCAGCAAGAACTCAACTCAGCAGACGTGTATGAAAGGCTACTGCGGACCAGAGCGCAGGCGAAGCGGCAAGGGAATAGCACGGCCTGTTAGCAGCTCACATGTTCTGGAATGGGACGGAGGGACTCGACGTGCACACCCACTGCCATCAGACCACTCAGAAGGCAGACAGGGGCATGGGAGCAGCTGTCAGAGCACAGAGGAGGGCATCCCTCCTTCCATCCCCAGGAATCACAGGGAACAGTGTCTGGGAACCAGGAGCTGTCTCCTGGGCCTGTCCTTGCTCTGCCTGAGCCTGGCCATGCAAGACACCCAAGCCTCTTGTACTCAAGTCTCTGGGTCACTATGTCAAAAGCAGAGAGGATGATGAGACTCTGCTCACAGGGTGATTATGGGGAGTCTGGGTTAATAAATACAAAGGTCTCGGGGCACCTGGGTGGCTCAGTGGGTTAAAGCCTCTGCCTTCGGCTCAGGTCATGATCTCAGGGTCCTGGGATCGAGCCCCACATCAGACTCTCTGCTCAGCAGGGAGCCTGCTTCCTCCTCTCTCTTTACCTGCCTCTCTGCCTACTTGTGATTTCTGTCTGTCAAATAAATAAATTAAAAATCTAAATAAATAAATAAATAAATAAATAAATAAAAATAAATGCAAAGGTCTTCAGGGGGCGCCTGGTGTGCCGTCGGTGCGTCGGTGCCCACCAAGTATTTGTTATTTCCAGGAACAGGGAGTGCAGATTCCTTAGGACGGCGTGCTGGTGACCCCCCGGGGAGCAGTCAGGCTTCTGGAGCAGAAAGGTCAGGCAGAGCCCATTGTGGTTCAAACACGCAGCTGCGTGCACACTTGGGCTAATTATCCCCTTGAACATGGTGGTCCTGGCAAACTGAACTTCCTTTCACTTAAATCTCCTTGATGTGTAAAACACCCCAGGTCCGATGCCTTGTCAAGTTAGTGAGTGAAACAGTATTCACTTTATACTGTTCCATCGCAAATTAAACACGAGCCTGCTTGCCATCTGGGAAGGTGGATTTACTGTCAGGCTCACATAAAACCAACATATATTTGTAAATGGTGCCCATCTAGAGACTACAAGGCCCCTATGCCACCAGCATTCATTCACCGGAGCCTGGAAGGGATAAGTCAGGTTTAGAATCATGGAACAGTAAGCCCCAGAGAGCCTAACTATTGTAACATCCTTGCTCTTAATGGGCTGCGAAGACATTATCAGTGTTACATAGCCTGGAAAGCATGACCACTGTCCAGAGGCAAATGGGAAACAGGGAGGTGGAGGAAGAAAATGTCCATCGGGCCCCTGGGCTCCGTTCTGTCCCACATGAGGCATGTTTCTTCGTGTACATGGAGTCACCAGCACCTACGTAAATAATTGCAAAATGTGCAGGAAAGCAGACTTCATTTCTAGCAGCGCAAATTGCCAGTCACAACGCCGAGCTCTGGGAAGGATTCCATGTGGCCAGGGCTTGGAGTTATATGGGGTATGTGAGCTGGGCCATGTTTCCCCACAAGGTTGGACTGATAAGGTAAGTGCACATTTCACAAGACTCTGATTCTCTGTGTTAAAGATGTGTTAAATGGGTCACGGAACTAATGTGAGGATACAACCAAGTTATGAGATCAGGCACAGGGTGTGGACGATTAATGTTCTAAGAAGGGTGGTGAAACACCAGAGTTTTAAAATCTGTTTTTAATTTGTATTGCCTCACTAAATTATTGGGTGATGTTAAACATCTTTAACTTCTCAATGTCCGTGTCCCTCAAGAAAAATGAGAATAATGAGCATGGGACAAGAACATTTTTTCCCCCTTTTTACAGCTTCAAAAACCTAAAAAATTATATAGTCCAAATCTTCCTTACATTTCAGATGAGGAAACTGAAACTCAGAAACTCCAAGTGACCAGTCTAAAGGCACACAGCTCTTTAATGGGACAGAAGGCAGGGACCCTGACTTATGGATCCCCATGCTCTGCCACAAAATTATTTACATACTTATTTACAGAAGGCTTTCAAGTACTTAGAGTTTCCACATTGACAAACCAACATGGCCCCATTTGGAAAGTGCGAATTGAACTTCTGAGCAATTTCTTTTCTCTATTTAACGCTGCCTGTAGCTTTGGCTGGCTGCCATCTTGGTTCCTTCAACAGAAACTTTTCTGAAGGGCAATAGTTGCTGAAATGCTCACTCGAAACGCCAGCCCATTTGGTTTCTGGATTTGAGTCTTCAGAACTAGATCATGTAGAATGGCGGTGACGCTCCTTGCTTGACATCTTTCCCTCTCTTGAGTTTGGGGTGTTTTGCTAAGGTTTATTCAGAAACATACTGCTGACTTTCATAAATCAAAAGCGTGGCTTCGCAGGCCACAAAAGGGGGTGTGGTGGTGTGTGGAAAGAACATGAGGCTTTGGAGTGAGCTAGACCTGGGTCTGATGTCTAATTCTTTCCACGTTGATTCAGCAAATATTTATGTAGGGCCTCTCATGGGCCAAGCCCTGAGCTATATGACCTTGGGTGGGTCATTTAACTTTCCTAAGCCTCAATTTCCTCTCCTGTTAAATTAAGATAATAAACCCTTCCTTTCAACATTGTTCTGAGGATTAGAGATATAGTCTAAAAATGACTGCACACATAGTAGGCATCAGTCAGTGGTGGCTGCTATTATTTTTATTGGAATTGCAAGTGTTCTAGAGACGGACAATAGGTTATCACTGGCCTGACAAATGAGATACCACACAGAAGAGACAGACAGAGGGACAGAGGGACACGCAAAACACGCGAAACTAGAGGGAGAAGAGAGAAAACTCCTGAGCAAATACCTTATTTATCATCTTTGGGGAAGACTTTCAAGTAATTAAAAATGTGTGTGTGTGTGTGTGTGTGTGTGTGTGTGTGTGTATGTGTGTGTATGCACGTGTGTATACACACGCATTATATTCTTTACTATTTGCTTTCTTAGAATCCTAAAATGTTAAAACTTAAGGAACTTAAAAACATTCCGTCCTTTAGCATTCTTGTTTACAAAGCAGGAACAGGGGGGCGCCTGGGTGGCTCAGTAGGTTAAAGCCTCAGGTCATGATCTCAGGGTCCTGGGATCGTGGATGGAGCCCCACATCGGGTTCTCTGCTCAGCGGGGAGCCTGCTTCCTCCTCTTTCTCTGCCTGCCTCTCTGCCTACTTATGATCTCTGTCTGTCAAATAAATAAATAAAATCTTAAAAACAAAAAACAAAGCAGGAACAGGCCTATGGGCGAAGGGGCTTGCTGAGCAACCCTCGCCCCCGCAAGTCCTTCCTGACTCACTTGCCTTAAAAAGCTACATCTCCTCCTTCCCTCTCCACCATCTTGGCAAGGTTATAATAAGATCAAAAACATTTTCAGAATGCAGGAAAAGGTAGCTGAAGAGGATGACTCCTTCAAAAGAAGGTTATTTTAAATATCTTGGTTAAATGAACGAAGGAATTTAAAAATTCTAAGGATGTCTGTGAGGGACTTCAGCTCCCCCAGTGGTGAAGGAGGAGAAGGTTAGACCCTTGGGCCTTTAGCCAGTGAAATCCCAAGCTGCCTGAGGACCAGGATCCCAGCAGAATTTTTCAGATCAAAGAGGAAAAGGGCATAGAAATATGTGGGGGAAAGGATGAGAACAGGAACCGTAATAATACTCCGTTAAAGAGGGGAGCCTTCATCACAAAGGCAATTTAAATTTATTAGCATGTTATTTAAGGAAAACTTTGTTATTTCCTCTCCTGTAAGAGGGAGTGAAGCTGGGGGAAAGGGGAGAGAAAAGGATTTTCCTTTTTACTTCACATACCACCATTTTTGAATTTTATATTTTTATAATAAATTTTAAAATACAGTTCTTCTTAAAAAAAATTTGGGGGGGGGTTCGATGTGGCACCATAAATCCAGATGCTGTTGTTCTCCCTGAATCTAATACCTTCCCAACTCATTCTTTTAATTCAGTCGGAGCCTACAACTGGAGAGGAGGCTGTGGCTCCTTGGGTGACACCGCCCTCTACTGGTCCTAGGGGCAACTGCGCCAGCCCGACTGGTGACTCTGGCTCAAACCCAGACTTAAAAGTATGTCATTACCTTTTTATAATAAAATCTCTTGGCTTGACTATTGAATCCCTTTTTTTCTGATTCTGGAATTGTTGAAGTCCGGCTTTTAAAAGGAATGGAGGATTGTGTTGGATATGCAGCAGTAAAACCTAAACAACAAAAACAAAATAAAATTTAGCACGGAGAATTGACAAATGTAGAAAACAAAGAGCACTTTGAAGTTTTGTTTTGTTTTCCTTTTGTTGTTTTTCCAAGATTATGTTTTTAAGTAATCGCCACACACAACCTGGGGCTTGAATTCACAACCCCAAGATCGAGAGTCTCACGCTCCACCCACTGAGCCAGCCAGGTGCCCCCTAATTTTTATTTTAAGTGGAATAGAAGAGAAACTTGCCTTTTGACAGGAGATAAACATGAAACTAATTAAAAAAAATATATTCCCTTTATGGGGCACCTGGGTGGCTCAGTGGGTTAAGCCTCTGCCTTCAGCTCAGGTCATGATCTCAGGGTCCTGGGATCAAGCCCCACATCCAGGCTCTCTGCTCAGCGAGGAGCCTGCTTCTCCCTCTCTCTCTGCCTACTTCTGCCTACTTGTGATTTCTCTGTCAAATAAATAAATCTTTAAAAAAAATATTCCCTTTACTTTCTTTCCCTCTTGGTAATTTATCAGAGACGAGGAAACTGAGGCCTACTCACTCACCCAAATCACACAGCCCTTCAGGGAAACAGCCAGTGTTTGAACACAGTTGGTCTCATAAGCCCGGGCCCTTAAGCTCCAAGCTGGGTTTCTTCTTCCTAAGTCTGGCCCAGGGTAAGGACCCAACAGACCAAGGCATGAAATAATGGGGAGGTGGCAATCTGACCTAATTTGCTCAGGTTGAGGATGAAGTAAAAGAAGCAGAATAAATGTTTGGCTAGAAAACATCTGAGAGATAAATATACACTATATTTATTCCTTTCCTCCCTTCTCTCCCTACCCCCCACCCCAACCCCATTTAGGAGATGGATGGCTAGGTATTTTTTCTTTAAGGGAACTAGAGAGAACAAATCAGAAAGCAGCCCAGGCAAGGCTTCCTAGCTTTTGTTTCTAAAAGTCTATGGAGCAACTGAAAGCGACAGCAGAGGAAACAGCAAAGAAAGGGGGCTTCTTGTTTTTTTTTTAAAGGTAAATGGAAGGCCATTTCCCTGGGGGAAGGAAAAAAGTTTCCTGACTCAAAAGAAGATCAAACACTTGGGCTTCTGGCTTTGGTAGAACCAGCTGCACGTAAGCAAGCTTCTGGAGGACGACAACCAGAAAAATAAGATTTTTTAAAAAATCACTCTGGATAATTGAATTCCCATTTCCAACCAAAATGGGACTGGATTTGCCCTCCTAGCTGCGGAAGCAGAAGTTAAACACGGACAAAATATATGAAACGATGGTTTTCCGGGCACTGGACATGCAGCAGCATAGGATGGGGATCCCCTAGAAGTGGGAAGCAAATGGGTGAGCAGTAAAATGACCCCCAGCTTACAGCCTGGTGAAGTTTCCAGGCCACAGCCCAGGAAGGAGGAATCCAGGCCATCCTCTTTGAGTTGAGGAAATGAATCAGGAAGCCCAGAAAGACCAGGCTTCTAGAGTTCACAGAGAACCAGAAAAGAGAGCCACGCAGAGAAAGAGGGGGACCTGCTCGGGGTTCCCCTCAGGTGGTTTCCTGAGTATTGATCAGGATACACATATGACAACACCACCCAAGGCTGCGGAAAAAATCAACCAGAAGAATTAAGTGAACAATAACACCTGAACACAGGCACAGGAATAGCTCCTATTCCCACGCATCGGAGTGGAAAGCTTTATAATTCCTAGAAGAGAGAGTATGCAAAGAGCTTTGCCTCACATATAGAGCAAAATCACCCCTAGACCAAATGCTGGCCAGTTGTCAGCTGATTAACACTTAACAGCAAGACTTGAAAGAATCCAACTGGTTCCGAGGAACTTAACTGCAGAACAAACCACAAGAATTTGCAGGACTACAAAAGCACCCAACAAATAAAATGGAAAATATATGGTGTTCAGTTAAGAATTAATAGGTATACAAAGAAGAAAAAATGCAATTCATAACCAGAAGATAAATAGTCAATCAAAACCAAAATTTAGGGACGCCTGTGTGGCTCAGTGGGTTAAAGCCTCTGCCTTCGGCTCAGGTCATGATCTCAGGGTCCTGGGATCGAGACCCACATCGGGCTCTCTGCTTGGCGGGGAGCCTGCTTTCCCCTCTCTCTCTGCCTGCCTCTCTACCTACTTGTGATCTCTCTCCCTGTGTCAAATAAATAAATAAAATCTTTTAAAAAATTTAATTTATGGGACGCCTGGGTGGCTCAGTTGGTTAAGCAGCTGCCTTCAGCTCAGGTCATGATCCCAGTGTCCTGGGATCGAGTCCCACATCGGGCTCCTTGTTCTGTGGGGAGCCTGCTTCTCCCTCTGCCTCTGCCTGCCATTCTGTCTGCCTGTGCTTGCTCGCTCTCTCTCTCTCTCTCTGACAAATAAATAAATAAAATCTTTAAAAAAAAAAAATTTAATTTATAAAAACAGGCAGCAGGTGAGAATCAGCCAAAGGCCAAAGTTTGCCAGGCCTAAAGCGGTCACTAAGAAAATACTGCAAAAGGATATTATTTTTTTTTTTTAAAGATTTTACTCTTTTAGAGGACTCTCTACACCCAACATGGGGCTCAAACTCACAATCCCAAGATTAAGAGTTGCACGCTCCACCGATGAAGCCAGCCAGGAGCCAACAAAAGGGATAAAATAGAAATAAAAACAAAAAATAGAAAATAGAAACAAAAAAAACCCTACTCAATGCAAAAGATGACAAAAAAGTAAAAATGGAACAGATGGGACAAATCACAAGCAAATTGCAAGTGGTAAACTTAAACCTACACACCAATATTAATATTAAATTTCAAATTTCTATAGTGTAAACATCCCAATCAAAAGACAGAGATGGTCAAAAGGGATAAGAAAGAAAGACCTAACTATATGCTGTCTACAAGAAATATACTTTAGGGACGCCTGGGTGAGTCTGTTGGTTAAGGGTCTGACTCTTGATTTCGGCTCAGGTCATGAACTCCGGGTCTGGGATCGAGCCCTGCACCAGGCTGTGCCCTCTGCTTTTCCCTCTCCCTCTGCTCCTCTCCTTTCTCATGCTGTCTCTCTAAAATAAATAAAATTTTTTTTAAAAATTGTATATATATATTATATATAAATATATACTTTAAATATAATCCCAGAAATAGGTCAAAAATAAAAGAATGGGAAAAGATACACTATGTTAACACTAACCAGGAGAAAGCTAGAGATAATGTCAGACAAAGCAGATTTCAAAGTAAAAAATATTACCTGCAATAAAGAGGATCATTTCATAATCATACAGGGTCAATTCTTCAAGAGAATAAAAACAAGCCTAAATGCTGATACACCCAATAACAAGAAATATAAAATACATGAAACAAAAACCGATGGTACTACAAGAAAAAATAGAATATTCCACAATTATGGTCAGATTTAAAAGTTCCTCCCTCAATAATTTAAATAAGTAGGTAGAAGATTAGTAAAGATGCAAAGACTTGGGGGCACCTGGCTAGTTCAGTTGGTAGAGTGTGTGACTCTTGACCCTAAGGCTATGAGTTTGAGCCCCAAGTTGAGTGTAGAGATTACTTAAAAATAAAATTAAAAAAAAAATCTATGACTTGAACAATACTATTACCTAACTTGACCTAATTGCCATTTATAGCACAGTCTACCTATCAATTTTTTATAATCTACCCCATAAGACTGAAGAGGATAATAGGCACCTGGGTGGCTCAGTGGGTTAAAGCCTCTGCCTTCGGCTCAGGTCATGATCCCAGGGTCCTGGGATGGAGCCCCGCATTGGGCCCTCTGCTCAGCAGGGAGCCTGCTTCCCCCTCTCTCTTCCGCCTGCCTCTCTGCCTGCTTGTGATCTCTCTGTCAAATAAATAAATAAAATCTTAAAAAAAAAAAAAAAAGCCTGAAGAGGATAAGACATCTCCACATCCATTTCAGGAGGTCAGCATCACCCTGACACCAAAATGAGACAGAGTCATTCATGGTGGGTGTAAGAGGAACAACTATGATCAATTTCCCTCAGAAACACACATGCAGAAATTCTTAGGAAAATTTTGGTAAACTAAGTCCAACAATATATAAAAAAAATCATATATCATGGCCAAGTGGAGTTTATCTCTGCAATGCAAAGACAGGTTATAAGTTAATGATTGAAAGTCAATGTCATTCACCATATAGACCAACTAAAAAAGAAAAAACATATGGTCATCTCAGCAGATGCAGAATGGAATCATGTAGCAGGTACTAAAAAAGTACATGGTTTTTGTCTGGCTTCTTTCATTCAGCATAATTATTCTGACATTCATTCATGTTGTTGAAGTACTAACGCTTCATTGATTTTATTGCTGAGTGATATTTCCTCATATAGAAATATTAATCCATTGCCGATGGACATTTGTTGCCAGTGTGAGGGTGTGACAAATAAAAGCTGTTATCTACATTCCAATACGACTCTTCCGAGTAGACACATGTTTTCATTTTTCTTGGGTAAATACTCAGGAGTGGGATGGCTGGATCAAATGTTTAATTTTTTTTAAAGATTTTATTTATTTATTTGAGAGAGAGCACAAGTAGGGGAGCAGCAGAGGGAGAAGCAGGCTCTTCCCTGAGTAGGACCATGGGGGACCTCAGGATCATGACCTGAGCCGAAGGCAGACGCTTAACCAATTGAGCCACCCAGGTGCCCTCAAATGTTTAACTTTTAAAGAAATTGCAAAACTCTTTCCCAAAGTTGTGCCTTTGTACGTCTCCACTATTAGTACACGAGAGTTACTGTTCTTCCACATCCTCGTCAACACGGGCAGTCTTTTTCATTTCAGCCACCCCATGGGCTGTGTCGTACTATCTCACTGTGGTTCCCATGTGTATTTTCCTAATGGCTAAGGATGCTGAACATCTCTTCATTTGCTATTTTCAATCTGCATATCTTTTTTGATGAAGTATCTGTTGAGTAGATACAGAAAGCATTTCATAAAATCTAATGTCCTTTTGCTATTAAAAAAAAAACAACAAAAAACCTGGGGCACCTGGGTGGCTCAGAGGGTTAAGCCTCTGCCTTCAGCTCAGGTCATGATCCCAGGGTCCTGGGATCGAGCCCCGCATCGAGCTCTCTGCTCAGCAGGGAGCCTGCTTCCCCCTCTCTCTGCCTGCCTCTCTGCCTACTTGTGATCTCTGTCTGTCAAATAAATAAATAAAATCTTTAAAAAAAAAAAAAACAACCCTAACCAACTAGGAATAGAAGCCAATTTCCTCCATCTGATAAAAGCTATCAATGACAAAAGCCTATAGTAAACACGATACTGAATAGTGAAATATTAAAAGCTTTTTCCTGAGAGACAAACCATGAGACTGTTGTTACTCTTCTTTTCAATACTGTCCCGGCTCTAGCAAGCACAGAAATCAAGAGCAATAAATAAAAATGTATGGATCAGAAAGGAATAAATAAAGCTGTCATTATCCACAGGTGACAAGATCATACATGGGAAAATTTGAGGAGAATCTATAGACAACCTATGAGGGGTAATCACTGAATTTAGTAAGGTCACTAGAATCAAGGTCAATATACAGAAGTCCATTTGTTTTATTTCTCTATCAGGATACAATTAGAGAAGGAAATTAAAATATCACCATTTATAACAACATAAAAATCAAATGCCTAGACAGACATAAAGAAGACATATGTGATCTCTACAGAGAGATCTGTGAAACATTTTTGAGAAAATTTTAAGAAGACTTGAATAAAATAAATGCACATGGAAGGGAGAACCCAATATTGTAGAGATGTGAATTATCCCTAAATTGATTGCTAGAATCAATGCAATCCAAGCCAAAATAACAGAAAGGATTTTTATTTTTAGGACATGGATGAGTTGATTCTAAAATTTATATGGAAATGCAATGGGGCCAAGAATCACCAAGATAAGGTACAAAGCTGAAATGCTTATACTACTAGATTCAAGACTTTTTATAAAGTTACAGTAATTAAGACAGTTTAGTATTTGGAAAAGAAAAAGTATAGTATTTGAGCTGAATAAAGAATCCAGAAGTAACCCTGCATATACATAGATACTTGATTTATGACAAAGGCAGTTCTTCAGAATAGTAGAAAAAGAATGGCCTTTCAATAAATGGTGCTGGGTCACCTGGATATAGATATAGAAAACACCAAAATTGCGCATCCACCTTGTCCCACACACAGAAACGATTCCAACCGAATTGTAGGCCTAGACATGAAAGGTAAAATAATGCAGTTTCTAGAAGAAATTATTTGGTGCTAGGTGAAGATTTCTCAAATAGGACAGACATACACAGTAACTAAAAAGGAAAGGACTGATAAATTGGGCTGTATTAAACTTAAGACCTGTCAATTAGCATACCATTAAGAGTGGAAAGGAAAATCACAGATTGTAAGAAGGGATTTACTCTCCCTGTAGCTGACAAATGGACTCATTTCTAGAATGGTTTAAAGAACTCGTAAAAATAAGAGAAATCCAATAAAAAAGGGACAAAAAGCTTGAACAATCATTCCTCCAAAGAGAATATTCTAAAAGTCAACCAGCATATGAAAAATTGCTCGATCTCATTGATCAAAGAGCAATGCAAATTAAAACCATTACGTGCAAAAGATGTTGGTGGTGATGTGGAGCAATTGGAATTCTCATACGTTGCTTGTAAAGAAGTAAAATTGGCAAAACCACTTAGGAAAAATGGCGGTATCCACCAAGCTGATCATAAACACATCGTAGGATCCAGCGATTCTACTCTGAGGCATAGATGACGTACATACATTCCATGTATGTCCCCAAAACATGTACGAGATTAGTTAGAAAAGCATCTATTCATAGCAGCCCCAAACTGGAAACAACCCAAATGTCCTCAATAATAGAATGGATAAATAATTGGCAGTGTATTCAAACAGAATAAAACTTTATAGCCACGAAAACGAACCATTAACTGATACATGAAACATGAAGTTCAACCTCTCAAACATGAGTGGAAAAAGGCTAGAGAAAAAAGTTCATATTGTATGATTCCAATTTATCTGAAATTTAAAAACAGTGGCGGGGCACCTGGGTAGCTCAGTGAGTTAAGCATCTGACTCTTGCTTTGCACTCATATTGGGATCTCAGGGTCATGAGATCAAGCCCACCCCACCATGGGCTCTGTGTTCAGAGGGGAGTCTACTTGGGATTCTCTCTCCCCTGTTCCCACGGCACAGATGCGCATGTTCTGCCTCTGTCTCTCTAAAATAAATAAATCTCTTTTTTTTAAAGTTCAATAACAGGGGCGCCTGGGTGGCTCAGTGGGTTAAAGCCTCTGCCTTCAGCTCAGGTCATGATCCCAGGGTCCTGGGATCGAGCCCCGAATCGGGCTCTCTGCTCAGCTCTGCTCAGCAGGGAGCCTGCTTCCCTTCCTCTGCCTGTCTCTCTGCCTCCTTATGATCTCTGTCAAATAAATAAATAAATAAATCTTAAAGTTCAGTAACAGGTTAAAGTAATTACTGTATTAGAAGTCAGGATAGCTCTAGTGTTTACTTTCACAGAGAAGGGGAAGCAACAAGACAGGGTCTTTGGGATACTGCTACGATTCTATTTTCTTGGTCTGAGAGAATGATTCTATTGGTTGTATTTTCATTATGAATATTTATTAAGCTGTATAATTATGATTTGTGTACTTTTTCTGAATATATATCATGCTTCAATTTTTAAAAGTAGTAAAGAAGAAGAGATAGCACAAAGTCAAAGGAGGGGAAAAAGTAAGGTCTGGCTCTGAGTTGGAGAGCAGTAGGAAATCTAGAAGCGTACCAGGGAGGAGGAAAGACCCCAAAAGAAAGAAAAACCAGTGGAATAAGGATCTTGGAATGAGGTTTCCAGCCCCAGAAATGATTCCTAACCAGGTGTGGTCCAGAAACATACCAACAAAACCAAAGGGAGCCTGTGGGCTGGGACAGTGGAACTCTCACCTGTGTGGATGGATAAACAAAGACCTGAGGGCTTCCTCCCATCCCCCACCCAGGCATCCCATCACCTCTTTCTACTGAGAAAGATCCAAAACTTGAAACAAGCAGAACATGGGATTTGTGCCCCTAATGGCTGGAGTTAAACTTGTCACCAACCCACAGTGTGGGGGGCTTGCATTAATTTTAGGAATTGAGAGAGTAGATCTCTTTACACCTCTAAGTGTGAAGATGGAGATTCTTACCAGAAACGTAGAAAGAACAAGTGTGGTGAATAGACTTCCTCCCCCTTCTCTCCTCATTCTCTTTTCACACTTTCTTCCCAGTCCTCACTCTAGAAGCAGTGAGGAGCCACCAAAAGCAATTTATGTGATATGTCTTAAGGGTGGCCTTGTTGGTATGACCCAGAATTCAACATATGTGTTCTTATGTGCCAAAAAGAACATAGGTCAAGAATTCTCAGGGTGCATGGGTGGCTCAGTCAGTTAAAGCGTCTGCCTTTGGCTTGGGTCACGATCTCAGGGTCCTGGGACAGAGCCCCAAGTCCTGTTTCCTGCTCAGTGGGGAGTCTGTTTCTCCCTCTTCCTTTGCACCTGCCCCCCTCATACTCTCGCTCTCCCTCCCTCTCAAACAAATAAATAAAATCTTTAAAAAAAAAAGTTCTCTCTTCCCCTCAAAGATATCTGTTAATAAATTCACAAGACCTTTCTGTAATTTGCTGGCATGGCTGGAATATTTTTTGTCAGGGTGTTGGTCTTTGCGTGCTGAGTTGTCCATCTTAGCAAAGTTCTGTGATATGTTCCATTTGTTTGATGAAAAACTCTACTACATGTTCTTCTAAGTACCTGGAACAGCAAAACACAGCATTTGTAGGGATCATTTCACATTAACTACGTAGATTGGGTTCTGTTCTATCTGCAGAACAGACTGAGCAATCTTGCGTGTAGGGGCTGAGATTTACCTAGTTCTACGACCTTAACTCACAAGCACATCACACTGCCTGTAACGAGAATTATGTAAGTGTTCATTGTTGGTGTTGCTTACAGAGCTACTGAAGGCTTGGATTTTATAAATGTATTCTTACCAAGATAATTGACCGACATACAATATAATTCCTTAGTTTTAATTTTTGGCAAATGTGTACAATTGTGTCAAATGCCATCACAATTAAGACACAAATAACCCCATCATCCCAAAGAGTTTCCTAGGTTTCTTTGCCTTCAGTACCCTCCCAACCCTGGGATGTAGCAACCATTGCTTTGCTTTCTGTCCCAACAATTGCCTTTTCTAGAATGTCATATACGTGTAATCAAACAGTATATACTGTTCTGTGCAGGTGCCTCCTCTGGGCGTTCTCCTCTATTGATTCCAAACTCTGGGCTCCCTGAACTCGGATTTCTATGTCTCTAGCCCAGAAAGCTGGGCTGGGCTTTGCTTGGGTACCCCCTCCCTAAACCGTGGCCTGGACACCGCCCGCAGCAGGAAGCTCGGGTAACTGCAAGGCTCGCCTTGGTTTTCCTCTCAGGAATTGCCAAATCAAGTTGTCTTATGCCTAAAATCAGTTGCTTCATGGGAGTCTGGGTTTTAGTTGTTAACAGCAGGAGCAGGATTCAGTTTCCATAGCTGTTCCTCTTTCATGGACAGACGAGTTCTATTTTGCCCATCTTTTTCTCCTCAAGAATCCACACCATTTACTAAGGAAGGAAAGGACAGAAAGAATGATGGCGTGCTCTACAAATCCTTTCCACTGTCAGTGTTTGTTCCTCACTTGACTTTCTCACAGCTGCAATGCTCCCCATCTTCTCTGCTTAACACTCTATACTGAAATTTTAATATTCATGAGAGTTATTGGCAACACACTCCAAGAAACTAAGAGATTCAGAGCAACAGAAATCAATAATGCTCACAGCAACATGACCACTCCAGTATAAAAATGTCTTTTAGGATATATAAAAGCAGCTACCATTCACTTACCACGCTACAGTGCTATGTCTTTGTCTTAGTACTTCTACTAGGTACTCAGTACTTCTACCATCTACTTTCCTAGCTACAATAAAGCTATCTTATTTGTTTTTTTAATTTTTAGTTTATTTTTTCAGTCATCCAAGATTCATTGTTTATGCACCACACCCAGTGTTCCATACAATACGTGCCCTCCTTAATACCCACCATCAGTTCTCCCAACCCTCCACTCCTCTCCCCTCCAAACCCTCAGTTTGTTTCTAAGAGTCCACAGCCTCTAATGGTTCATCTCCCCCTCCAATTTCCCCCATTCACTTTTCCTTTCCTTCTCCTAATGTCCTCCTGTTATTCCTTATGCTCCATAAGTAAGTAAAACCATATAATTGACTTTCTCTGCTTGACTTATTTCACTCAGCATAATCTCCTCCAGTCCCATCCATGTTGATACAAAAGTTGGGTATTCATCCTTTCTGATGGAGGCATAATATTCCATTGTATATATGGACCATATCTTCTTCATCCAATCGTCTGTTGAAGGGCATCTTGTCTCTTTCCACAGTTTGGCAACTGTGGCCATTGCTGCTATGAACATTGGGGTACAGAAGGCCCTTCTTTTCATTTTTTTAATCTTTGGGGTGAATACCGAGTAGTACAATTGCAGGGTCCTAGGGTAGCTCTATTTTTAATTTCTTAAGGAATCCCACACTGTTTTCCAAGGTGGCTGCACCAACTTGCATTCCCACCATCAGTGTAAAAGGGTTCTCCTTTCTCCACATCCTCTCCAACACACGTTGTTTACTGTCTTGTTAATTTTGGCCATTCTAACTGGTGTAAGGTGGTATCTAGATGTGGTTTTGATTTGAATCTCCCTGTTGGCTAACGATGATGAACATTTTTTCATGTGTCTGTTTAAAGCTCTTATTTTATAAATGCACTAATGAGGTGAGCACAGCATAATGTTCAAACTTGGCAAATCGCTGTGTTGTATGACTGAAACAAATGTAACATTGCTTATCCACTACACTCAAACAAAGGTTAATTAAAAAAATAAACAAATGATAAAAAATTAAAATGTACTCACGTGCTAGAATTACAAGTGATTAGAAAAAAAATTAAGCTTCCTATTACAATGGTGATATGTGCACCTTATCAAATTTTTGGAAAATATAGGAAATTAAAAAGACTTTCTAAAACAATCCATGATCCTAACCCTTAAAGGCAACTACTGATAATGCTTTCTGGCGTTGGTATGCATACCTGTGAAGCCAGATGAGACCAGGTGCAGACCAGGTGTGAACGGAGCGCCGCCCAGATGTGCCCTAGCGCTGCAGTTCCTTGTGTCACTGTTCATGACAGAATGTCATGGACCTAGAATCTCAGAAAAGAGTAATGAAGATATACCACCTTCTTTATCAATGGCATATGCCCAGGCAACTCCCAGGTGAGTACCCGTACAGTAATCAGAAGTATCCCTGGGTTCAAGGTTATGCTCTGCCACTTCCTAGTTCTGAGTCCCTTCATCTTTTGACCCCACTGCCCCCTCCATCAACTAAGAATGATGACAGGACTTTCTTCTCAAGGTGCTTATGGATTAAATATGATGGTCCATATGATGAAGTAGATGATCTTGTCTGGTCCACAGGAGGCTTTTATGAATATTAGATTTTAACACATCCACAGGAATAATGTAGTAACAGCTTAAAATAATAGTTATCATTTATTGAATGCTTACAGTCTTCAACACCTTGTATAGAATTCTGCATGCTGTCCTTACAATAATCCAGTGAGGTATTAGCCTCATTTGGTAGATAAGAAAACTGAAGTTTAGAGAGAGGAGTTAGGTGACTTGCTCAAGGTCACACCAGAATTAAGAGATGGAATCAGGCTTTGAACCTAGAAGTCTGACTTCCGCTCACTCTTAACCACTATCATACCCACTAAGGCAGCATCTGCTGAATGTTAACATGCTGAATTTTGACATTTGGCAGCCCTGAGTGGATATGGTTGTTTTTTTAAAACCAGGATATTGCATACAGTTTTCAAAATATAAAGCAAATATTTGAGGCTATCGAATTTTCACAGAATGCTGGGCTTCCCCAGAACTTTTCACTTTGAAAATTACCAAGGCAGTTCACCGTTGGGTAGTTCCAGTTACTAGAAATTTCCTGCTTATATCAAAGCTGATTCTTTTTTTTCCCCCCTTCACTCACCCTAAGACCACCGCTGGGAACCAGCCTGGAATAAAACTCACTCCTCTTCCGCATTAGTGATTTTCAAAATGCAAGTCACAGCCTGCAGTCTTTCGTGAAGTTTTTGTTTGTCATGTATGTATCTGCTGGACCACAGTATAAAATGCATTTCTTACCATAGGTCACTGTCCAAAAGTTTGAAAGCCACTGTTCTATATGACTGTTCTTCAAATCTTCAAAGGCAGCTGTCATATCCCCCCATCTAAAGCCACGGGACCTTTTCAGCTTCTCCAATACCTCCTTGCAGCATGCGGATTCCTCCCTTCCCTATGCTGGGGATCATCTTTTGCCCTGTCACAAATTCATCTGGGTCTCTCCTCAAACTGTCTCCTCAGACTGTCTTCCTTAACCAGTCTCTCTCAAGGAGCACCACCGCCACTCTCTACCCGACTCTGCCTTATGTTTCTCAATGCACTTTTCACTACCCAACACCATATTTTACATGTACTTTTTTGCTTATGGTCTCCGGATAGAATGTTCCTCACTAAATCCCCAGTCTGTTTCCTGGCACATAGTAGTTGCTCAATAATATCTGAGTAATGAATGAATACTAGGGGTACATATGTTCTAGCCATAGTGCCTGCTGATGTAGTCTTATACAACTCTTTCCTTTGGGAGCTACATTCTGTGAGGATTTAACTCATCAGACTATAAATACAAATGCGTTTCCACTCTACTATATGTTTCTTTAAAAAAAATCATTTGGGTTATAGCATTATCACGTATTTTATACACTTATACCTGCATATTAATGTGCAGTGTATGTCAATACATACTAAATCCTATATGCTTTTTACCTTATGTGGAATTTTCTGGTATTTGCGTGAGCAGTTTGGAGGACATGAGATTTTTATCAATTCAGTTATACATGATGCTATGGTACATCTTGAAAGTATTTTCCATTTTTCAAAGCATACCCAGGGAAATAATCCACTTCATATTTTTCATATGAGAAACCAGGAAAGCATTCAAAGAGCAGGAAGGAGCTTTACAGCCAGCTAGTGACCACCAAATTCCAATCTTACCCTTTCATCTTAGGGATGGATACACTGAGGCCCAGGCAGGGAAGAATTTTGCTGAGGGACGCCCAAGGAGCTGGAGTGGACCTGGGATTAGAACTCAGCTCTTTTTCCGTCCACCCACTGCCCCAGTACCCCATTCGTTTGCACGCTCACAGAGGCAGAGGGGAGTCAGAGGCCCACGCTCCTTGCAGGAGTCCCGTGGGGGGAGGGCACCCCGTGATTATCAGCACCCCTTTTGTGGGGGCGGGGCCTTGGAGGGCACACCATCAGGGAGGAGCACCTGCGACTGTGGCTTCTTCCCACCCTGGGGCACCAACAAACACGCACCTAGCAGATCCTCCTCCCCACGACCCTCCCACCCCACAGGTTCCCAGACAGGAACTGCCTCCTACCTCCTTGGGTCTCCCTGGGCTGAATCTGGGCTACCCAGCTTCCCCGTTGCTATGGCAACCACGGGCCTAACATTCTAGAGTCCTCCTTTAGGCTGCCTCATGAGTAATCAGCCAATGGTTTCTTCCGTTTCTTTAGCGTGAAAAGTTGTTGGCCAATCATTAGAGGTGTTTCAAAAAAAAAAAAACAACCTTAGGGAAACCGCTAGAATTTTAGGGTTTGGG